AACAGCTAATCCTCATCTTTACATTAACACGTTAACGACCATGTGCACCAATATAGTGCACACAATAGTTTCTGTCCACATCGGGTGACCTTATTTGAACATAGTGGATTGACATTTTCTAAGTAAAGTGGGCCTGTGAGGGACGCACATACATGGTATTTAAATGTGTTAATTTGGTCCCTGAGAAACAAAAAGTCGCCTTGGGTTGGGATTTTTTTGTATTCTTTCTGGGTTATAGTACTAAAATTTGCTTATTTGCCAATGGCTTACTATATCAAGAAATTGTTTATTATTGTATAGATTTACTATTGTATAGTTTTAGTGTTGTGTAGTTTTACTTTTGTATAGTTTTACTTTTGTATAATTTTACTATTGTATAGTTTAACTATTGTATAGTTTTACTTTTATTGAATACTTTAAATCTACAAATGAAATCATAAAGAAAACAAAAAACCGTACTTTTGTCCTGCATTCTCTGAAAATGCGTCATATATGTGTGCAAGTTGTTTTTTCGAATTACATGCTGCTTCTTTGAAGTCATAATAATTGTGAATATTTAAAATTTTTTAAAATTAGACTGCTATAATATATTTGTAATAAAAATAACCATTTATTTTTGAAAAATAAATACAAATTTAACGTTTTTGGGTGCGACTTGATTTGTGTCACACGGTCTGTGGTAAACTTAACTTTATAGGGTTCGAACTTTTTTTATACATAAAAAACTCCCTATAAACAATTTATTTCTCCAAAAAATATATTACCAATCTTTCTTTTTCCAAGATTTGATAAAAAACAACCCTGGGTGCGTATGCTTGAAAACGAGAGAAACTGAAACTCCCCGGGGAATATATTCACTTTATTTTCACTTTCCCAAAAAATTGGTATTCTTGAAATAACGTGAAAGCTAAGGGAGGAGAAAGTAGATGGTGAAAATAAATACAGAGTTGTCAGATCATCCGACCAATTAGAAACTACGAGCTTTTGACAGCAAATGTCACTTCTGGCATTTTAAGAATTTAGGTTATTATGATTTCTTTTTATCGACAACGGAATTTTGACTTTTTCACGTATACACATTTTAAAATACTATTGTTGATTAAAAATAATATTAACTGGTTTTAAATAATTATCAAACTAAAAATTCAAATATCTTGGCAATAATTCAAGTAATATTTTTCTAAATGTTTAGTTTTAGTTTTAAAACGTCTTTATTTACAGTTAAAAACTCTACGATTGTAGGAGGTAGGTACCTACTTATTACTTTCCTAAATAATTAATCATTTTAAAAACACGAGTCAAAGTACAAACAAATTTAAAAAACGTTATTACTATTGGAAAAGGGGATAGTTTTACACTACTACCTTTTATAACTAAAGAAGTTGTTGTCTAAAATGTATCTGTATTGAATAAAAATTATTCTTATTATTTTCGCGTCTAAATCCATTTTAAAGGAAAAGTAAATAGCGCAAATGTATAAATGGGCAGACACGAATTGAGAACCAAAATGAAAATATTAAGAAGGGTTTATTTTTGTACCTGAAAATATGACACGAATTGAGGACCAGGCTTCTGAGAAATAATTATAGTAAGTGCACAATCATGAAAATGACATAAAGAAATTAAATAGACAAATTTTGAGTGTAGCAAGCAAACGGAAAGCTGTAGAAGATATCACAGAACGGCCATCGAAAATCATACACTCTGTTTTAAGGGAAAACAGTGATACAATGGACGCTTTGACAAGAAAAGACATTACATACATAAGAAATAATATGTATTACAAAAGACGTCAAGTCCAAGCACGTTTACCAAGCAATGTATCAGATGTTTTCGATATTTTACCAACATTAAATTTGACAACAATTAAAAATGAACCATTTCTCTTGGCCACTGATAATATTAACAATATTGTAGTATTTTCGTGCTATACTAATTTAAAATTTTTGTGTAGTAGTGACAAAGTGTATCTTGATGGAACATTTCGATATTGTACGAAACATTTTTTACAGTTGTTCACACTTCATATCGTAGAAAACGGCCATTATATACCAGTAGCTTTTTGTTTATTACCGAATAAACTTCGTTTAACATACGAAAGACTTTTCGTTATTCTTAAAGAAAAGTGTTGTAATGCTAATTTAATATTTGTTCCAAAAATTATTGTAGCTGATTATGAACTAGCTATTCACAAAGCAATTTCTGCGCAATGGCCCACCACAAAGATCATTGGATGTAGGTTTCATCTTGGCCAAGCTTGGTACAGAAAAATACAGAGTTTGGGATTGGCTAAAGAATACCAAGATGAAAAAAGTGCAACTGGAAAATGGATGAGGTATCTTTTTGGATTGTCTTTTTTAAAACCCGAAGAAGTTGGAGAATGTTTTGCTTTGGATTTGGCTGAATTTCAGCCCGATCATATGCATAAAGCTGTGGTAAATTTAGCTGACTATTTAGTAAAGAATTATATTGAAGAAAATTCTTTATTTCCACCAACAATTTGGGCTGAAGCTGTTGTAACTACAGAAAATTCTACCAATGCATGCGAGTCCTTTCATTCTAGATTTAATTCAAATTTCTATTCAATGCACCCTTCATTGTATTTATTTGTAAATGTTTTGAACAATTTTCAAACAGATACTTATATTCGTATTAACAGCCTTAAGGAGTCTGTTAAATGTAACAACAAAATTGTTAGACGAAGATTAAATATGTTAACTTCAAAAATGTTAGAATATAAAAATGGTTCTATAAAACGAATAGATTTTGTAAAATTCGCATCAAATTATCATTAAGTGTATTAAATGTAAATAATATGTATATGTTTAAAAAATTAATTATAAATTGTAAATTGTGCAATAAATATCTATTTTTATCTGAATTCGTACTTTTCTTCAAATTTTGCAAATCCATCAGAAGACAAATAATAATATTATAAATGGGTATAGTGATAAGATACTTCAATTATTGAGAAGTTTGTTCCTCAATTCGTGTCATATTTCCAGGTACAAAAATCTCTCTCAGTAATCTAGTTAACGCAATGAACCCTCATTACCACCTTAATCCCTAATCCTTAGTACGGTCCGCAATTCGGTGCACTTATTTGGTCTGTGCAGGTAGTGGTCCTCAATTCGAGAACACCGGTATAAATATACCTGAAAACTACTAACAATATCAATGAGGTTATAGTAATATTTTGATTTTTATTTATTTAATTTCTGACAAGCACTGCGCATGCTTGTGAATTGAATTATCTCGTTATTTTCATTCTCTCTACCTAAAAGTAGGAGAAAGTTTTGAGAGAAAATTCTCCACCAATTTTGGTGAATTTGATTTCAAGAATACGAATTTTTACAAAGGAGTAGAAAGTGAGAATTTTCTCTCAATATTTCTGACTCCCCGATTTCAAGAATAGGCACCTACCCTGGTCCATGGTTAAAATTTCAGAATTAGGAACCGGTCGTTAACGTGTTAAATTTGATATCTCTTTTATTTACCAATTCTACCTGATGATGGCTTTAAAGCCGAAACTAATCGCTCTTTAATCTAATAATAATTTACATTAGTATTAATTTAGAGTTAATTTATTATTTTATATAAAAACTTGTTAACATCTGCATGTATGTATTTAAACATTTCTAGCACGGACGACGCATCAAGTAAACATCCATTACTACAACCACTTTTGATCTTGACCACTCCAATGCGCTTCAATTAATCGACAGTCTTTTCCTTGTCTGCCAAACCAAACCAAAAGCAATTATCACGTCGCTTTACGTTCTTGTTTTTTTTTTATGTTAACTTGTCCTTATCGATTACGAGCAGCGCCGTCGATGATTAATTAGTAAATTGACCGGAATGCGTTTAATGATTAGCGTGAGATACTTATTGAAAACCTTTTTCATTCACGTTTATCCCATTCATTAGGTGCGAAACGGTCGATTAGGGATCTCCCTAATTGGCCTTGTTGAGCGTTTGTTTATCGCCCTCTCAAGCTCACGCGCCCCATCCGCGACGTGGATTTCTATTGTACAAATAATATTTAAATCGTTTTTACTGTGAATTTGGATTTGTCGTTCAAAAAAATGCGTCGAAATATCGATAAATACTATTAATTAGTTTTTGCTCCAGAGTTTCGTTTTATCACTCGAGAGTTTCGTTTTATCACTCGAGAGTTTGAATTTATCATTACAGCTACATTATAGCAGAAGGTAATCATTTTAATAGTTTTTTAAATATGCTCCAGCAGGGTTATTCTACTAAATTTATAGCCCGGCTACAAGTTGGATTTTGGCTTGAACTTTGTATGTTCCTAACTTCAAAATCCAACTTGTAGCCGGGCTATAAATTTAGTAGAATAACCGTGCTGGTCATTTGGTCGACAAAATAATAACAAAGTCTACTAGTAACATCGAAGGAATCACATCAAATAAAGATTATTTCTTCCTCATTCCATTTTTTCATACAGAATTATTAAATTTGTTACTTAGGAAAATTAAAAACAAAAGATCTTCTGGAGCCGATGACGTATCATGTGTTGTACTAAAACAAGTATTAAATGTTCTCTCTGAACCTTTAACATATTTGGTAAACTTATCTTTTGAGATGGGCAGTTTTCCTCAAGCTTTAAAACTGGGGAAAGTTTTACCATTGCAGAAGAAAAATGATCGTAGACAATTAGAAAACTATAGCTATTCTTTGTGGTCTGTCTAAAATCTTTGAATATACCTTTCTTGGAAAGGTACAACATTATAACAGGAAATCAGCATGGATTCTGTGCTGAAGAATCAACAACTTCTATGCTTTAATTTTACAATAAAATTATTCACCATTTGGAGGAATCTGAATGCCCAGCTGCTAGCTTTTGTGATCTCAGTAAAGCATTCGATTGTGTAAACCATGAGTTGCTATTAAATATATAATAACCCCGCATCTATTAGTAGCTACCTTGTAGCCCCCTTGCAATCATTTTTTCTAACACAACGTTTCTTTTGTTACAGAACTGTGCCATGATGGGTGTGCAGGCGACGACAGGACAAGCGGCTGGCGGCGGAGGATGTAAGAGGAAACTAGAGGCGGCGACGGCGCCATCGGACTCGTCGACACCGGCGAAAACGGGCCGTTGGGAGGCGGACGATTGCATAGCGCGTCTCCAGGCCGTGGCGGTACCGGCGGCGGATGCTTGGCGAACGCCGACGCCGTCGCTAGCGGCCTCGTTGCTCACCACCACCGGGAGCTCGGGGACGGCCGGTACCAACGGCGGCGTTACGACGCTGGACGATGATTTCGATGACGAGGAGTTCGACGACGAGCTGTCGGACGACGAGAAGTGCGGAGGCGGCGTTCCGGAGCCGGCTAGGTTTACCCCGCACCAGTATAGTAGGTAAGTAATACCTTTACAATTTCTTCATATTTTTATTTCATCCTGTACTGCCTCCAATTAGGCGGCACTACATACAGCCCCCCATGTGCTTATTGTGAAACCATTTGGATGCCCTACCAAACAAGCAAAAACATACTAAAAAAATACCTTTTAATTTACCCGTGTTCAGGTTTAATTGTTATCACTAAATTAAACTAATGGGTGTCCAAATTTGACTTTCGGATTTAAATTAATAATAAAACACGAAAAATGTTTGAAATATTTTAATGTTTTTGTATTATTTTAAAGTTTAAATGTTACGGTTAATAATGAAAAAAATGTTACCCGGCATGCAGTGTTGCCAGACCTACTGTTTTAACAGTAGATCTACTGTTTTTGCCTCTCTTCTACTGTTCTACTGTTTTAGCCATAAAATCTACTGAATTCGCCAACTTGGCAAATTTTGTTCTTAATTTATTAAGTTTGTCTCGTTCTTCATCAAATGTACAAATATATTTTCTCAATTAAATTTGCAGAAGTCAAATTAGCGTAATAAGTTGAATACAGCCAGTATTGTAGGTTTGCTCCACACAAAAAATATGTAACTTCCAGAGAATCATGATGTTTTGATTTAAAATGCAACAAAAAATTAAAAGGCACCATAATAAGAATAAGTACTACACAATATATTTGAATTATCTGATTCAGACTGATCTGAAAGAAATAGGTAGCTACTATTTTTCATTAATTTTTTTTGTCTCCTGACATTAAGTTTTACAAATTTTATTTATTTTATTCTTTAATTTTTAATTTGGGTATAAAAGCAAAAATGTTTATTTTTCGTTTCTTATATAATTTTTTTATTTATTATACTTCAAATTATATATAATTATTTTCCCCTGTATTAAACACTACTGTTCAGTTTCGATGTTCTACTGTTTTTTTTTCCACCCATCTACTGTTCCAGAAAATTTTCATCTGGCAACACTGCCGGCATGTAATCCCTTTGCTTCTTTAGCATACTAACATTCTTTTTCCAAAATTTTCAATAACATTTTCGAAAAAATTCTGTTCAATTTTTTGAATAATGTTAACTCGAAGCTGTTCAGGTGTGTAACGGTTATAGCATAAACGTTTTTCTTCAAAAAGTCCCACAAAAAATAATCTAATGGTGTAAGGTCTCACGACCTAGGCTCTTCGAGAAATTATTCGATTGCCAAATCTCTCCCTTGAAAGATTTAGTGTTTTATCTGATGTGTGGCAAGTGACACCGTCTTGCTGGAACCACATGTTTTGGACATCCATATCTTTTAATTCGTTCCACAAATAATCTCTAATCATTGTCCTGTATCGCCCTCCATTCACAGTTATCGCATCACCAGCTTCATTCTGGACCAATAACGCCACCACCCCAAAAAATCACACCACACAGTCACATTTACTGGATACAGTCGTTTTTCCAGTATTTTATTCACCTCATATTCTGCTGTTGAAATCTCTTCATAAAACTCTTAATAACTTTAACAGACGGTGCTGAATTTCTTTCGAAATGCATATGGTATCGTTTTGCAGTTTCAGCAAAACACTCCTCATTTTGGTAATAAGTTTTCACAATAAAAACGGTGTTATCGATGGACAGTTGTTCCATGTTGACCAAAAAACAAGTATCCGCAAAGTTTTTAGTTGACATACGTCTCCAAAGAAATACTGTCAGTGAAAATTACCAAAAATGGCGGTCAATTTAAATCGGAATGTCAAATTTGGACACCCATTATATAAGAACAACAACAACAACAACAACAACAAACGACATTCAAAGGTAACAAACAAGTTTCTACTGTCTGATGAAATGCTTTGACAGCCGGTTTCGCTCTGAGTGGAGAAAGGCGCGGGCCGTTTAGTGACAAATCTACTGTATTTAAACTAAATAATAATGGGCGCCAGCCTGATTTGAAATATGCCATAATCACAGCGTTTGTTGTCGCCAACCTAAATCGAACAAATCCTAGGAACGAAATGAGATAAAGAAAACTTCTTATACCATTAAATAAACCCTAGACCCTGCAATATACAAACTTGAATATAAACGCAGACACAGTGATCAATCTCACTTAAAAAAATGTTGTAACAAGAACTCTTACAAAACATCTCATAGAAATGTGAAAATCTGAGGGGAAAATCCACCTTAATTTTATACGATGATCTTTTTTTGTGTTTTGATCCACCAAGCTGATGAATTTGCGTTTTTGAGTAGATTGATTTCTAAGATGATTTCGATCATAGTTTTTGATGATGATTTCGAAATTTTCGTAGTGATTTCGAGTGAAAACTTACAAGTATTTCGGGAGTGATTTACCCCTCGTGAAAATCCTACAATGTTTTAAGATTCCTATATAAATAATATCAATATATCCAAAAAGACCGCATTCTTATACAACATTTTGGTTTTATAGAAATTCTATATCAAAACTTTATAGTAATTAAATTCAACTATTTTAAACATATTTTAAAATATTAAAAAATCTTTTAAAGTCACACGAACATAAATATCTTAAGATATATTTTCAAGCACAGTTGTTTACTTATCTTATAGGATAGTATTGTTCTTTAAAACAGTTTTTAAACGCGATATGCAACAAAATCTGAAATACAATTACAGGGTTGCCATTTTTGACAAAAAATACTATACAATTAGGAAAACAATTTTTTCTACACCCACATGGAAATTAGCGTATCTTCGCACATACTATAAGACAAAAAGTATGCCATTGCGTTCAACTGGACGAATATATTTCATATCCATTCTAGGTAGTGAAAACGGTGCAAAAAAATTAAATCCACCAATCACAGTTCATATTTTGGTCACCCGGCTACTATTAATTTCAAATTTTATAGTGTCAATTGTGTCAAACTAATTGTCAGTATATTTTAGTTATTGAGATTAAATATACGTAAAAATGAGTTATTCTTGTGTAAAATCAATAAATAAAAGCATTTCTGTTTTTATTTCGTCAATATTTACAAATAAATCATAAATTTTAATCAAACTATATAAAACTAATTTAATTATGAGTATTAAAAATCGTAAGTATGTCGATGGAGGTGAGACCATGGCGTTGGGCTGCTATGCGAGAGGCTCGGGTTCAAATCTGGTTCGGAGACTAATTAAATTAAATCTTTTTTTTTTTTTTTCATGTTTATTTTATTTTATAAATTAGTAAAAGTATTAAATTATTTTAAAATTAGTTATTTTGTCTTAACCTAAAATAATTTTTAAAATATGTAATTTTTATTAGTGGGTCGTAGAAAAAATATACTGTAAAACTCGAGTGGATTGTTCATATCTACTTTTGTTGCACAAACTACTATTATCACATTATATTTTTCTCTACAGTGTCAGTTAGGAAAAGATAAATAGTAAATACCAATCTACAATCGGTAATCTAAATGTTCTTAATATACAGGGTGTCCTATTACTGCGTAATTGTTTAATATTTTAATTTGTGTAATAGACACGCAAATATGTTTCAAATAAAAGTTATATGGAATTAAAATATTTTTGCATATACAGAGTGTTGCGTTTTTGCCTGGCAAATACAAATGTATATTTTTTTAAATTGAACACCCTGTATTTTTTTAAGTTTTAGTATATTCACAATGCTGTATAATAAATATCACTATACAATATTTTTTTAGTAGTATTGAAATGCTTACACAAATTTGTTTTATAAATATTTCTGGAGATACATTTATAAGAGTTTTATAATCATCACTTAAGGTTGCTGTATAATAGTTGTATAGTGTTATAAAAGTCCTATAGAATTAAAACTTATGAAAAGGTGCCTTTTTCGGCTGTATTAGCATCACATAGGAATTTTTAATCGCATTACATGTTGTATAAGAGTTCTAACAACCTTTATACTGCCGTCATAAGCAAAACCCCAATAACTATAGAATGAAAAGATATTTGAAAGAAAAGAAATTCATTAGTGATAGCATTTTGATCGGTGGTACCAATATGGCTGTTGAATTAAAGACAATTTTTGGATAATACTTTTAATCACTTAAAAATAAGTTTGATTTAATTTTTTGTGTTGGCTTGCAGATTAAAAGGTTTCTGCTAAGTATTCTCTACAAAAATGTTAGTTACGGTGTAGAATCAAGTTGACTTTTTAAGATACAGAATAAATATTACCGTGATTTTGCTTATTTTTTAAGAAGAAGAAAGAGTTAGTATCAAAACGGTCAAATAACCTCAAATATTTGTAATTTGCCAGACTTATGACGGCAGTATAGTACTTTTTTGCTTGTTAGCTTATTGTGCCTCCATTTGGATACCCTACTCCTTCCCATTTTAATAGAAACTTCCCGTTTCTTAATATTAATCACATCTCTTTAATTTCAGGTTTCAAACCCAAACCGACTACTGGCAGTACTACCAACCCCCCCAACAGCAAACGATCCGGTGCGAAGAAAACGGCAAGAGTTATTTAGAGCTCGGTGCTTCCCCGCCGGCGCGAACGCGCTGCTGCGACGGCCGAACGCGATGGTGCCACGTCCCCTGTTACCGACAAAGACGGTTGGCGGTGTTGAATCTGTCCATGTGCAAACTGGCGAGGTATCGGCAGTGTTCGGACCCCTCGTTGAGGCGATCGGTGCTCATTTGCAATACGCTGCGGAGGCTGGAAAGAGAAATGGAGTCTGAACCGCCGGAGCCGAGTTATCCAGCGTCGTTACCACCTTTGTCTCCCATCACGGTAAGTTTTTAGTTGGATCGTTGTGCGACACCGCACTTTTTCTACTCCCAGACGGGAAGAAGCTTTGAAAATCATTTTTAGTATTTTTTGAGATAAAGGTAATTTAAAAATGTCGTAAGGACATGGTGAACTTTATAATATTTCATTCTACTACAGGTTATAAACTGTCATTTATTGTTGCAGGTACAAGAAACCAACTACGAACAAAGCCTAAGAGACATGAACTGCTCGGGGAGGGCCACTCCCTTTCCTTCCAACCCCCCAGACAACGATTCAGGCTTGGGCGATGACGAGTCAACGAGGCCGATCAATTGGGGCTCCGTCCTCAGCTTGACGAGCCAAACGGACTTGGAATCGCTGAACAACAATGAACTTTACGCTGAATTAGGACTTAGTAGTAGTGAAAATTCAGAGTGGAAAGAATCCGTTCGGACTGAGAATGAGTGGGACGGGTTCATGCACGTCCTAGTGGGGGGCACGTAGCATTAGGCGGCTAAAAATGTATTATAGGTCAGATCTATAATGTTTTCTAAGAGAAGCGAGCACTTTAAACTGTGTTGAATCGCGAACAATTATGATCGAACAAATTTCGAAACAGTTTGAAGGGTTTTTTTCTCTGACCATGGTTGATATTTTTTCTGTGAACTGGCCTATCATCTCAGGTTGTGATTTTTATAGTTTAGAGAAAATTATAAAGACATGGTGCGTTTGTGAACGAATGTGCAGCTAGTTGTTGATTATGTTTTTAAATCTTTGCTGTGCTAGAAGTTTTTTGTGCTGCAAAATAATTGAAATATGCAATTTAAGCATCATTTTACGGTAAAAATAAATCTATCAAAAAGGTTATATAGATGTTAGTATTCAGACCAAAAGGTTTTGAGTTGTAGCCGTGCAAATATGAAAAATTGTTGCATCTACTGCTCAGAAACTACTGATTTGAATACAGACATTCCTATATACTTTTTAATAGAGAATTTAATTGTTTAAAATTTTGTATAGTACTATTTCTATGGTACGGTTGCTAAGAAGCTACTTATTCCCGATTTAGATACCCAATTTACATTTTTAAATCAAATGAATCAAAAATTGTTAAAAAATAAATGGTGCCGATTTTATTAGAAATAAAATTTAAATAAAACGTCTTGGATTAAAAATTTTTTTGGTCAAAATTTACAAAAAAATATCAAAAATTTGCATTTTGATTCGGGAAAAATACTGATATTTTACAGCTACAGAAAACTGACAGGCTTGGAATATACTTAATTCAAAAACTGGTTTGATGATCTCTTAATGCTCAATTTGTCGAAACATAGCACAGAAAATAGTTTTGAAATGGTCTGGCAGAATCTTCTCGTTTTGAAATTTAAATTAAAAAATTTTACCTTACTAAATCGCCAATTCACAACGGGATAGATCTGGTGAATCTCATGGCTAAAGCTGGATTAATAAAAACGGTCAAATAAAAAACAACCAGAATAACAGAGATATGAACGGTTGAGGACATTTAAGCAGATGAAAAGCTGACAATCAAACTGAATTGTAGAAGAACAAGTGTGGCATCTTAATAACAGGGCTCAAATTATTTTAAACAATTCTTCTTATTTTTATAAAACATTTTTTAGTCCAATCAAATAGACCTTTAAATCAAAATTTTGGAGGAAATTTGGAGGAATTTTTGATATAAGTCACGTTAGAGTATTTGAAAACGATATGTAAAAAAATTTTGTTTTTCAAGCACCGGCAAATGTCAAAAAACAAGAAAATAAAGTGTTTTTTTGAGGTTATTTAAAAACGGTAGGTGCTATAAAAAAAAGTTCTTAATAAAAATTGTAAAGCATAAAGTTTTACATAAAAATGATATTTGACATTTTTTGCTATTATTAAAACTGACAGAGTTAGGGTGGTTAGAAATTAAGAGGAAATATATATTAAGAAAAATTATTTATAACAATTTTAATTTCAAAATTTTCAATTAATTATACAAATTTATATGGTAAATTTTAAAGTAAACTTATTAGCTTAACATTTTAAATAGGAAGGAAAATGGGGAGTATCGTAAAAAAAACAAAAAATAAATAAAATAAGTAAAAATAAATAAAAATAAAATAAATAAAAATTAGTTAAAATAAATATTAAAAATTATTAAAGATTATTAAAAATTATTAAAAATTATTAAAAATTATTAAAAATTATTAAAAATTATTAAAAATTATTAAAAATTATTAAAAATTATTAAAAATTATTAAAAATTATTAAAAATTATTAAAAATTATTAAAAATTATTAAAAATTATTAAAAATTATTAAAAATTATTAAAAATTATTAAAAAATATTAAAAATTATTAAAAATTATTAAAAAATATTAAAAATTATTAAAAATTATTAAAAATTATTAAAAATTATTAAAAATTATTAAAAATTATTAAAAATTATTAAAAATTATTAAAAATTATTAAAAATTATTAAAAATTATTAAAAATTATTAAAAAGTAATAAAAATTACTAAAAATTACTTAAAATTACCAAAAATTACTAAAAATTACAAAAAATAATAAAAATTAATAATCATTCATTTTTTAAATTATATACACGACACCACGCGTGCAAAGCCGCGGGACAATATGCCTAATGTCGCTGATACGCGACACCTAATTTACAATTTTAGTTAATTGCGGTGTTGCCAATTTTTTACTTTTACTCTTGTGCATAACCTAATGACGCTTATACGCACGAGATCATTGTCTTCTGTAAAACACATGACTCGTTGCCGTACGGCGTTGCCAACTTTATCCAGTTTTTACCAAAGTGTTTCCGTAGATTCGTGCGTTGGTCGCATATAAGCGACATGAGGCCATACAATGTGCTTGGAAATGTCGACCAAGGACGACGCTCGGCTATAATAAGTCCTGTCAAAATAGCAAACTTTAGTAAGACTAAACAGGGTATCCTGATAATGTTTTACCCCTGTCGCTTATAAGCGACGCTCGGCTATTTTACATGATTAGGATATGTCGCATATAAGCAACGTCCGTCCTTAGAGGGTTAAGAAAAAAATTTTTTTTTTTGTTTTTTTATGTTATGACAATTTTAATTTAGAAATTTTCAATTAATTATACGAATTTATATGGTATATTTTAAAGTAAACTTATTAGCTTGACTGACATGAAAAATATGAGGACTGAACTAATAAAAACGACATCGCGACAGTTTGGTCTCCACTTGAAGTTTCATTAAATAAATAAAAATAAAAACAAATAAAAAAGAACCAAATAAAAATATAAAAAATATAAAAAAAAATATATATAAAAATAAGTAAATAAAAATAAATATATAAATAAAATTAAATAAAAGTAAATGAAAAGATAAATATAAAGAAAATAAATAAAAATAAATAAAAAAATAAATATAAATAAAAACAAATAAAAATAATAACAAATAGTTAAAAAAATTTAATAAAATTAGGTAAATTATTAAAAATAAATAAAAATAGGTAATTTATTAAAAATAGAAATTAAACAAAAATAAATAAAAATAAATGAAAAGATATATGTAAAAAGAGTAAATAATAAATAAAAATAAAAAAATAATTAAAAAATAAAAAGAAAAAAAAATGAATATTTTTTTATTTTTATTTATTTTTATTTAATTTCTATTTTTGATAAATTATCCATTTTTATTTTTTTAACTATTTGTAATTATTTTCATTTATTTTTTTATTTTAATTTTATTAATTTTTTTTTAATTATTTTATTTACTTTCTTTTACTTATGTTTTCATTTATTTTTGTTTAATTTTATTTATTTTTTATTTTTAATAATTTACCTAACTTTATTAAATTTTTTTAACTATTCGTTATTATTTTCATTTATTTAAATTTGTTGTTTGTTTTCTTTAAAATATTCAGAAATAAAAATAAGAAATTTTAATTAACTACAGAACATAATATATCAAATGAGAAAACTTTACAATAAGATTTTTATTAAAATATTCAAAAAATTAAAAAATAAATTTTAATTAACTATCTAAAACCTTTTGTCTCAAATTACAGAAAAATAGTGGATCAAAATCAACATCTTCAAAATTTTGTGTATCCATCAAACCATGTGAATCTATTTCTATTATTTTTCTTTGATTTCGATTGACAACAACCTTAATAGGCTCTATATGTTTTCTTAATTATTTTTTATTTTAATTTTTTTAATTTATTTTTATTTATATTAATTTGTTTATTTATTTTCTTTTACATTTATCTTTTCATTTATTTTTATTTATATATTTATTTTTATTTACTTATTTTTATATATATATTTTTTTATATTTTTATATGGTCTTTTTTATTTGTTTTTATTTTTATTTATTTAATGGAACTTCAAGTGGAGGCCAAACTGTCGCGATGTCGTTTTTATTAGTTCACTCCTCATATTTTTCATGTCAGTCAAACTAATAAGTTTACTTTAAAATTTACCATATAAATTCGTATAATTAATTGAAAATTTCTAAATTAAAATTGTCATAAATAATTTTTCTTAAAAGAAATTTATAATAAAAAGAAACTACAAAATCATTAAATTTTTAGCTCGCTATGATTTTTCCAAGTCATATATCTCCTCTTAATTTCTAACCACCCTAACTCTGTCAATTTTAATAATAGCAAAAAAATGTCAAATATCATTTTTATGTAGAACTTTATGCTATACAATTTTTATTCAGAACTTTTTTTTATAGCACCTACCGTTTTTAAATAACCTTAAAAAACACTTTATTTTCTTGTTTTACCCAGAAACTCGACAGGAAACGGCAACACTGCTTTCACAGTGTTCGTTAGATCCTTTAGTCAGATAACAGGTTAAAAGGTTAAAAAGGCATGAAACATCAATGCTTTTTAAGAGAACTATCGAGCGATATTGCTGTTTTGTCAAAGTTCTGGGTAATAACCATTGAATCATGTGGTTAGGCGTTGCCAGATTTACTTTACAAATTTCTCTAGATTTGGGGAAAAAACGATGAAAGTGTTTTTATATTTAATATTTTAAATAAACATAGAAGTCATTTTTATTTTGTATTTTTTATACGTGTTTTATGGCGTTTTTTTCTATATCTTCTAAACTATACGTCCTACGATAAAAATATTGATAACCTTTTCAGATTATTAAATTACCTATCTTTTATTTTTAAATTTAAGTAAATAGTAAAACACCTTACTCAACTTACATCAATTTTTCCCCAGATCTGGGGAAATTTGGCTTTACCGCACTATTTAATGGTAAGTACGGCCGACAGTTACTCATAAACTTGACAAGAAACGGCAACACTGCTTCTCCAGTGTTCGTTAGATCCTTTAGTCAGATAAAAGATTGAAACGGCATTAAACATCAATGAGTTTTAATAAGAGAACTATCAAGCGATGTTGCCGTTTTGTCAAGGTTCTGGGTAATAACCATTGAATCATGTGGTTAGGCGTTGCCAGATCTACTTTACAAATTTCCCTAGATTTGGGGAAAAACTATGAAAGTGTTTTTATATTAACTATTTTAAATAAATATAGAAATTATTTTTATTTTGATTGATTTTTTATGGCCCGACTTTTATCGGTTTTTCCTACATCTGGGGAAATTTGTAGGGTAGATCTGGCAATACCGAATCGCATAATTTAATGTAAATACACTTCATAATTACCCAGAAACTTGGCAAAAAACGACAATACTGCGTCTCTAACGATCGATAGATTCCTTAAGATAACATGATAAAAGGACATACAATAAAGGCGCGAAACATCCATGATTTTAAATAAGGGGTTTATAAATCTTTATTTTCTTGTTTTTTGACATTTGCCGGTGCTTGAAAAACAAAATTTTTTACATATCGTTTTCAAATACTCTAAAGTGACTTATATCAAAAATTCCTGTATATCCTCAAAAATTTTGATGCAAAGGTCTATTTGATTGGACTATTTGCCGAATTCAACAACGAACATCTTGTTGAAGCGACCTGTTATATAAGAATGATCTTCGTTGCTAAATACACTACATTCTCAAAGAAGAAATTAACATTTTTGTCTACGATATTCTGACATTTGACTGCAGCTACATCTAACGGAAATTTCGCTTTTCAAACAGCACCTGTCAATCCGAACTTTCATTATTAAGAAACGTTTAAATGTCAATTAACGAAAGGATTGTAACTGACAGATGACATAAGAGTGACAGCTGACACAAGAGTGACAGCTGACACAAGAGTGACAGCTGACACAAGAGTGACAGATGACACAAAAGTGACAGATGCTCGTCGTAAATTTCAATGTATAGAGATTATTCTGTCGGACCACTGATTATGTTTTTTTTATGCATTTTTGTTGCACAAAAAATACTTCGTCCATATTAAGTACTTTGAAAAAAATACCGCGTGATAAAAAGTATTTTAAAATTACGATTTTTTTTTAAATTGCAGTTAACATTGCAAACTTAAAAAGTATCCTGTGCTATAGACGCTCAAACCTAGTTCATTTACTTTATTATTAATTTTTTAACGAAAAATTGATTTTAGACCCCCTCCATGTCAAGGGGTGGGCATTCCTCTGTACATATAGCAATTGTGAACATAGATTAATATGTGCATATTGTACATAAGAGATAAATTTATTCTAATTAGGTTTATATATTTGTAAATACTGAGTATATATGTTATTACATACTTTAAAGATTGTGTAAGTAATTTTATTATAAAAAAATTGGCAATATGGTTCTACTTTAAAACAAAATTAACTCTCAAGCTATCAAACTTCATTTATTTTGAATATTACACTTCATTCTTTGATTGGTCATTTTGACACCTAAAAGTTTACAGAACATTTCAATTTTTTCGCCCAATAGCTTGAGAGTATATTTCTAGTCCTTCATTCGTTCCATTTTTCAAGACAGTATAAGCCAGTATTAAAGAATCGAAAACAAATTATTAATCATGAGTTACTTAACTTTTTTTGAATGAATTGAACCGTCCCAAAATATACTTCTTGAACAATGGTAAAAGATGGCGCGTCCCTAGAGCTTGAAATTTTTGAAAAATTCACTGGATACAAAAATATGATGAAAAAAATGAGTTCTAAAAACAACTAAGACTGATCTTATTAGAAGTTTCTTCAAATTAAAATTTTTCCAAAGGTTATTCTTCAAGCACGTTCATTACAATGAACTTTTTAACTTTTTGATTTTGTATGCAGTGAAAAAAAAATATTTAAGTCTCTACAGATCCGTCGTCTTAATGATAAACATTTCTAGGTGTACACCATGTTATTTCATAGTTAATTCATTGTCAGTAAAATCTTGTTCAAAAACATTTAAATGTTTGTTGGCCTAGTTTTGGTGTTCAGATTTGAATGGGAAAAAGTGAGGTTATGTTATATACAACAAATCTCCCAGAGATTCACTAAAACTCGCATTTTTAATTTCTATAACCTCGAAATTTTCTTTTTTAAATTTGACGAAATCTTGATTAACAGATGAAATCAACTGTAAATTTTCTTGCCATGACAAAAAATTATTTCAGGAGGATGCGCAAGTTGGGGGCAACCTTTCCTCCTAACCTGACAGATAAAAATTATTTCAATTTTTTTTTTAATCTGTGCTAGTTTATTTTTTAATTTGATCTTCATATTTTATATGAGTTTGCACCTGCCAATAAATATTTTCTTTTTCCACATTTTCCTAATTTTCGATAAGCATTCATCCTAGGAAGCCTTAAAAGATGTTTATTTATTCATTAATTAAAGAAAATTAAATAAAATATAATTTAAAACAAATATAAAAATAAAAACATCATCTTTGGGAAAACAATGGAAAATGTTGGAAAAAATACATATATAAAAAATGTTTTTTGGTTGGCACAAAAGTTCCTTTTGAAAACGCATGTCAATTTCTCTTTTTTTTTGTCAAATTTGTTTAGATTCACAATACAAGGGGCACAAAAAAGATGTTATATTAAAAAAATGTATAATTAATAAGTAACTTGTTGTGGTACGAATGTAATAATTTTTATCCCATCACTAGTTGAATTTTATAAAAAGAATCATAAGGCAATCATATTATACTGTTTTTATAAATATATTATATATAATGAAATTGCTGTGTCTAATTCTAAAGATAAAAAATATATGTGCACAGAAATTTTAAGAATATTTTGATAATGTTGCAATAATAAAATTGAAATAAGGTTATAAGGCTCTTGAATAAAAATAAATACAAAGTATGAGGTACTAGAAAACAAATCTCTTCAATTTTGATTTTTTTTAAATAAACGTGTCGAACACATTAGAAAAATAATTTATTGCTTAAAAATATATTATAAAAATTGTTTTTTCTGATGAAAATTTGTTTTGAGTACCGATTAAAAGTTTGACAAAGATATAAGAAGTATCAGCTCGAAATTTTATTGAATTTTAAAATGATTTTCAAGGGCCTTTTCCCGTTATAGTAGAATTTTTGTCCCACATCGACGTGATGTCAATAATGAAAAAAATTTACGTACAACACTCGAAAAGTGTGCAAGTAAACATGTGATATCATGTAATATGTTAGTGTTAAAAAATAAATCGGTATATATACATATTACCTCATTTATTGTTTTATATTTTTATGTTTTAATATAATGAAATGAGTAAAGATACTACGATATTTTATTTTTCCTTAAATCCCGATAATACCATAACGATGACTAACAAAAAATGGTTACTATCAGCTGAAGTGAAAAAAAAAATGTATTCTAAAATATGTTTTTATTTTTTGAAAACGTTATATTCATTGAAAAAAACTATCTTAACGTTTGGTGGTGATTTTAAAAAACATCTATCCCAATTGAAAGTAGTTAATATGAGTTTCTAAAATTGATTTACAAAAAAGAACAGCATTTCTTTGTAGAAATAAAAAAAATACATGAAAAGTTCACTTTATACTTCTGAAAATTAAAGAAAAAACATTGTACAATATCCAGTACGCTAAATAATTACAATTATATACCTAATGTATAGGCAGCCAGTAATACACAAGCGTAGAATGTATTGCCTGCCTCATACACTCCATAATGCTGACTCTAGTGAATTTACCAAAGGCAGATACGAATTAAGACGAATAAGTTCGAAGTCACACAGGGTTGCCAAATTGTAAAAATTAAATGGTATAGTGAAACGGATATGTACTTGTATTAGGTATTTTCCTTTGCATCAAAAGTGTAGCACTGAGCTACACCACTTCTGAAAATATCGTTCCATTTATACAAATTGTATGGATGGAACGATAATCATCAAGAATCGCTCGACTTCCTAATGATCCATATTTATGCAAGAATAATTAACTTCTATTCTGTTCATTCAAAACGTAGAGTCATAAAGACCAGATTAAATGAATATTTCGTCTCAATGAAATCGCTCGTATTCCTCATAAAAAATACCGCCCGGTATTTTAAAAGATACTATTTTTACATAGAATTACTGCAAAAGTATTCAGAAGGGGTAACGCAAGACAGAAAAATTATTAAGAATCGCCCGACTTCCTAATGATCTATATTTATGCAAGAATAAAGAACGCCTATTTTGTTAATTTAAACAATAGGATGATAAAAGACAATATTAAATGAATATTTCGTCTCAATGAAATTGCTGGATTTTCTCTTAGAAAATACCGCCCGTTATTTTAAAAGATATTATTTTATTTTTATCACGATTTTTTCAAATGCAAGAAATATGACGACGACAGCGATGTTGTATAATACATATCCACACAAACTTAAGATTTTATTTATGGGATATTTCGAGGGAACACATTAATGCTTTGTTGATGTTAACGAATATAAAATATGCTTACAATGTAAAATATTGATTGGTAAACGAACCAATACGAATTATTATAATTATAATAATTATAATTACTTTTAAATATAATTGCATTGTTTTATAAAATAAAGTAGTTTTCGATATTCAGAAGGGATAACGTACGTTTTCTCCTGTATAAGCAATATTTTATGTTATTAATGAAATATAATAACAGCCTACCTGTTGATTCTTTGTTTTGCACTATTTTTATCCCGATCTTAAGAAAAATGAGCGCGTTTTAGCATTTTTAATGTTTAAATTGACTTTTAAATATAATTTATTCCGTTGCTGGTGAGCACGAAAAAAGGAATGATATGCAGGTTTGGTATACGATAGGAGCAGTGAATATGGGGCATTTTGTTTACGCTATAAAAAAACCGTGCTGATGAGTAGGTTTCAAGGAAACTACTACAATGTAATTATATAAAGGACAAGCGAAGGAAAATTAAGAAATAATACTGACCAAATAAACTAAAATTCCTTTTGTATCCTTTGGATGTTCCCAAAGAAATTATTTTTCGAAATTACAATTACGAAATAGTAAAAACTATTTTGGAACCTTCAAAAAAAAAAAAAAAAGAAATTGGAAAAACTCCATCACGGGCTGGGATTCGAACCCATCGATTCGTGTTTCATGCACATTGCCTTAACCATTCGGTAAAATAAGAATTTCCACATAAATAAGCATTTCCGGACAATTATTTTTAAGCTAATTGGATTTACATAACTTCTAATTTGCACAGCAGATGTACAGGGTTTTTCATTATATTTTGACCACTACTTATTTTCATTATTCATGTGAAAACAAAAAATTTCTAGTAAAAGTTTTGTTGTTTACCTCAACTTTTTCGACCACAGTTTAACAAATTACAAGCAATCAATTGACAACTTTTATTTTTCATTTGGAAACATGATTTTCACATATGCTCTCACAGTGGAATAAGTCACTAAATAATTAAAATATTACATATTTGTAATCAGGAAATGCAAGTCAACTTAAAATGACAAAAAATATAGGGTGTCCCATTAAAAAAATCAAATTATATTTTGTTGGAGGCGCCCTTTGTATATACAATTTTGCCAGTTATTACATTTTAAGTCGGTACATGTAAAACAACAAAGCTTTTACATAAATTTTTTTTGTGTTCGCAATAATAATAAAAATAAGTAGCGGTCAAAATATAATGAAGAATCCTATACCTATTCACTTTTCAGATCCGATTTTCCTTGGGATATTTTACCCAAATCCGATTCTTTCTAAGATAGGTGGCAACCGTGTAAACATATTTCAATAGAGCTCCCTCCGAGGGAACTCACTAGAATCATCGTTATAAATAACATTTTTGACAATTTTGACGTTTTTTATTACTTATCTAACCTAACCTATCATTTTACAAAATTTGATTTTTTATAGTTTAAATTTCTTTTAGAACGTTGTCTATTAACAAAATAATAAACATTTAGAAAAATGGATAATTTCAAAGATGGAGTCACATGATTTGGATGATGATTAGAAAAATTTTCAATACTTACATAATATTTTTTTATATTTACATGAACTTTGATAATGATGAATATCTTTTAAGTAAGTTCTTTATTTATTATAATAGATGAGTTTTTCACAGTTTTAGTTTCAATAAACCTTTTTTTTATAGAATTTTAATTGATGAATTAGAGACATTATTTACACCTAAGTATTTAAGAATTTCATAACTTTTGATGATATTGTTATAAATATTCTAATACAAACACTTTCATCCATTACAAATTAATATTTTTTAGGAAATGGCATATAATTTGGCGCGTTTTTCAACAAATTTCAAGAGGATCTCTAAACAAAGCTTAAACTTTTGTTCTAAAAGTGACAAATTAACTAAAAACAACAACAAATCTCAAGACAATAATAAGAAATCTGAAGACAATAATAAAAAATCTACAGACCAACAAAATCCTTTTCCAGAAGCCCCGACCAATTGTTGCATGTCAGGATGTCCCAATTGTGTGTGGGTGGAATATGCAGAAAAACTTTGCGAGTATTTTAAAGATGGTGGTGAAAAGGCCATAGAAGAAATCGAAAAGAAAGTCACAGATCCGAATATGAAAGCTTTTTTGATGCATGAACTACGTATGAGAAATATAAAAAAGAAATAATCGAGTAGAAACTGAAATTGGACAAGATATTTTCCGTTTTTTTATTTGTTTACATGTCTGTTTATATAATAAATGATAACATAATAAGGATTTGTATTTTTAGTTCCTAGTAGGAAACTTTAAACTACACATTTTGTAAAAATTTAAATGCAGTTGAATTCTATAAATTTTTAATTTTTATATAATCATAAAAGATTCAGATACTACTAGACCAGCAAATAAAATATTTAGGAATTATATATAGGTTAGAAAAACAATATAGGAGCCATATAGTCCAGGATCTGTAAGGTCGACCTTCACCCATCTGTTTAATGGATAAAAGTTTTTTTTTATTAGGTAAAATATGGTTTTAAATATACCGCAAATGGGTTGCCTAAGAAAATACGTTCACGGCCATTTTTTGCTTTCCTTTCTGTGTACAGATAAGAAAAGTATAGAAATCATGATAAAAGTTGCTTATGATGTCATTCTCTATTATTTTGTTCCTATACATAATTTCCCTAAAATGTTCCTTATTCGAGATATTTGAGGAAAACTGCAAATTTCGAATTTTGAAGACAACTCAAAAACGGATAAAGGGAAAAACACCAAATTTTAAACTTAAGCTTTAATCTATCCTGTGATGAGCTGATTAAAGTTTGGGCATAGTCGAAGCATATGGGAATATTTTACAGGGTGTCGTTTTTTTTTTATTTTAACAAATTAAATAGTCTGGACCGTATTTCCTTAGGCAACCCTTTTGCGGTATATTTATAAAAATATTTTATTTAATAAAAATAAACTTTCATCCATTAAATAGATGGGTGAAGGTCGACTTTACTTCGGATCTTAGACTAATAGGCGAATAATCACTGCGAGTGTACAACGTCTCTTGCAGAAGAAGGTTCTAATTTAGTAATGCATGAAATATTCTGGGGTATTGTTCTCTCTAATTAAATAAAAACAATATTTACGTAATTTCTGATTCTAGAATTAATAATTATTTGCAAATGAAAAATAATACCTAACATGACTTTGTAGATATATATGCTAAACTTATAACATTACCTTATGTATGGTAGGTTCCCAGACAACACACCAAATCCCAGAGATATCCACAGAATATCTTTTGTGGATATCCAATATATCCACAGGATATCAGAAATATTCCGTGGATCTAATATGGATATCCAAATGTCCGTCTATATCCAGAATATAGAAGATATCCTATGAATTATCCAGCAAAATATCTAATGGGTATCTTCCAGACAATACGAGAAATCCCAGAGATATCCATAGAATATATTTTGTGGATATCCAACCAAATGTCCGTCTATATCCCAGGATATAGAAGAATTCGGATATTCAGCAAAATATTTTATGTTTATGTTTATTGAATAACGTCGAAAGAAAATAGCAGAGAAAAAATATTTTCAACACTCAAAATATATTCAACACCCTGCCTTTGATTTTGCCCACTAAGGAGAAAGTCATCCTTATTAGGACTCTTCAGCAATAAATGGAAATTCTCGACTCCAGTCTCTAATGGAGTCTGATTGGGAAACAAATTTCGATCGAACTCAATTACGGCGGGTTAAGCATGAGTAGATGCGAAAGTGGTATCGCCATCTATACTTAGTAAGCAAAATCAAAAATTACATCTAGTGGATATCCACGATGGTTTGCGTTCGCGCCTATACTTTGATTATTTAGTGGATGTTCATGGGATATTGAATACACCTTAAAAACATTAATTTTAAATATCTGAACGGTACTATTAGCTACAATGGCGTAATTCTTTAATAATTTGCTATATAATTACTATTATTTATGGACATTTGCATGTCTATAAATTACATCTCATGGATATAAAATAGATATCCATCATGGACTGGACATTCAGTGGATATTGGGATGTTCAGTAAATATTCAAAGGATTTGGTGTGCTGTCTGGGTTAGTGCTTTATTTATAGTACTAGTATAATTAAAATGGGTCCTATTACGTTACCTTGAGGTATATTTACAACTTAGCAGTGGCGGCTAGTGGTCTAGTCTACAAGGGGGATACTTTCGAAGATATATAAAATATTATAGATATATACCCTATACAAATATTATAACTATATATTTTTGTTTAGAATACAAAAAGGACAAATTAAGAGTTTCACATTACATTTAAAGAATGCATTTTTTAAAAACAGAAACTGCTTATAAAAGCCAAAATGAATATTTTCGAATTTACAAATAGTTTGTCGCTACATAATTGATAGATGAAATATGCAACCAAACATACACCAACGTATGAGGTAAATGCCTAAGTGGTGTCTAGAATGGGACGAAGGCGGAAATTTTCGTAGCCCTGTTTCGTATAAAAATTCTTAATTGAGTGCTACACAAGTTTTAAACCTTTCTTGTTTGCAGCTAGCCAGCAAAGTCAGAGAATAGGTCACGAGTAACGGAAAATATATTGAACGCCACCAAATTGGGCTGATTACTTGGTCAATACATACGTATCTGAGGGGGCAACATTTCCACCTCAAATTTGGGGTGTTCTAATGTCTTCAACTTCTCGAACTGCCAGTAATTGTGAATCAAAATATATTATGACACGCCTCATATAAATGTGCCTACACAAATTTCTAGAACGTTTGATTGGGATGCCAAAGAGGTACATATGCCAAAATTAAAGGTTTTGGAAGATTAGAAAAACAAATTCGAAAAACAGTGATAAAAAAGTTTATTCTGAACAAAATTGATCAGTATTTAAGTAGAGATTTGTAAATTAGATTTTAAATTTAAAATGTTTTATTACGAATCAAATGTCTATTGTACATTTACTTTTAAAGCATATATTCATTTACTCAAGTACTACCTGTTATTGCAATTCGACCGGTTTTTGTTACCTCAAGTAGACCTTTTATTTCGACTGCAGTTAGTATGTAACCCCATATTATTGCCGACATTTTTTTACTGTCTCTACTGAAAAAAAATGAGGGCTGATATCGTACGCTACTGATGCCTATGGCCAATGCACAGCTTATACAATACAGCTCCACAATTCCGTGTCGGCGTCTTTGAAGTGGCGGTCGAGAACCAAGCAAGACGGAATGGTGCTATCTCTGTTAGATTCGACGGAAAAGTCGGGCCCGGATTAAAAAATATATTTATTATTGAAATAATTGAAGATCTTGGCGTAATAAGGTTGGTTACATGCCACATTAAGTAAGTTTTAAGAAATTAGGTTTTAAATTTGTTTTAAATCTATCAAATATAAATAAAAAAATTATTTAAATATAAATATTACGAATAATAGCACATCTTTCGGATTAGAGATAAAATAATTTGTATGGGGCTAGTAATATCCTTGTTAACAGATGTTTTGAGTTAAAACAGTCACTTCACGACAAATTGTGGCCGTGGATGCAAATCAAGTGGTACCCCGTGTATCTATCAAGTGTCATTCATCGCGCAAAGGGTTTATAGTGTTTATACCTAGATAAACGACTGCTTCGACTGACTGAGGTCTGGGAACTCGATGATATTCTGGGTTATTATAAAGAATCGGTAACTTGTGCTTTTATTTTAACAATATCGGTTTTATTTAGATGTATTTTTATTCATAAAGATTTGTAGAAGTAATAATTTGACAGTTTTTATTTATATATTATATTTTTATCTTCTGACCGTACCGAAGTAGAGAATTTTGAAACTTGATAGTAATGTGAAATTTAGATTACAATATTATGCGAAATTATATAATTAGTACCTACTAAATTTGTACTTGGAGAAAGTAATATCGATTTTTACAAGAAAACTCGGCAAGTAAATTAATTTAGTTCCTATTTACTGATGTAAACATTAAACCAAGAAAACAAATAAATAGTAGTTTGTGCAACAAGAGTGGATATGGACAATCCACTCGAGTTGTACAGTATATTTTTTCTACGACCCACTGACGAAAATCTACAAATTAAAATAAATTATTTTAGGTTATTTAAACAAAACAACTAATTTTAAAATAATTTACGAATTTTACTAATATATAAAATAAACATAAAAAAAATTAATTTAATTAGTTCCCGGCCTAGATTCGATCAGGGGTTTTCTCGTGGAAGGCAGATGCTCTGTCCTCATCTTCACCGACACTTTTAGGATTTTAGTTTTAATACTCGTAATTAAATGACATTCACACAGCTTGTAACTTTTATATAGATCATCCAATTTCTCCAAAAGGTCTTTTCGATTGGCTTTCATTGCCCAAATCATAGCCCTGAAAAAAATCATGTGTTTAGGTTTAAATAAGTTAATTATTAGACTATCATCTACACAATTAAACAAATTTAGAATTCCTAGCTCAATAGGTAACTTTAGCACCTAGGAGGAATTAATAAAAATAAAAACAGCCTAAATCTAACGTAAGTCAATAAACGAATCTGTCTATACAGGGCGTAATTGTTCCATATTTTAATTTGTGTTATAGACGTTTTTTGCCTGGCAAATAAAAATTTATGTTTTTTTAATAGAACACCCTATATTTTATTTTTAGAATGGCTTGTTAACACTATATTCAACCCTAGCATGTTTTGAAAAAATATTACAGTTTTGCCAAACAATTATTTTTTTTTTAAATTAGAGAATGATGCTAACCCCAAATTAAATTATCATAATTTAGGTAGGTTTACACTGATTTAAAAATTGTTGAATATACATACTTATATGATACTAAGCTAACGAATAGTGGTGATAGAACTGGTTTATTTTATTCAAAGTGTTTTGAAACATGCCTTAAATATGGCTAATTTTAAGTTCAATTTACTCAATTTTTTTTAAATGTATATTATTTTGACATAAAATTCCTAATACATTTACCTACTCAACGATACCAACATGTTAGCCAATAACACATATACAGGGTGTCCCATTAGTACGTAATGGATTGATAGCTGTTTTATTATTAGAAATACAAAAAAGTGGATTACCCTGTATCAATTAGTCGGTGGTATAATTTATAGGGTATTCCATTTAAAAACGTGAGAAAACCGTTACTCCCCATTTTGACACACCCTATATACCCTATAGCCTATAGCAAATAAATAAAGTCTATTAAAATGGTTTGACGATGTGAAAACTATCAAATATGTATGACTACCTGCAAGGTGTTTTGCTTTAAAAATATATAAGTTTCATCAACTCCCCTCGTTTATGGAACACCCTGTATATTTAAGAATATTTATTAAACATGGTCATACAAATTTATATAATTTTTTTTTCGTATTTCCACTAATAAAACAGCTATCGATCAATTACGCACTCATGGGATACAAAGTTTATGTGTTATTGGCTAATATTTTGGTATAGATAAATAAGCAAATTTATAAAGAATTTTAGGCCAAAATAATATACAGGGTGTTTTGTTTGAAAAAATTGAGTAAATTGAACTTAAAATTAGCCATATTCAAGACATGTTTTAAAACACTCTGTATAAAATAAACCAGTTCTATCACCACTATTCGTTAGCTTAGTATTTTATAAGTCTGTATATTAAACAATTTTGAAATCAATCTAAACCTACCTAAATTATGATAATTTAATGTGGGGTCTGCATCATTCTCTAATTTAAAAAAAAATGAATTGCTTGGCAACACTAATATTTTTTAATACATTTTAGGGTTAAATACAGTATTACCAAACCATTCTAAAAATAAAATATAGGGTGTTCTATTTAAAAAACATACATTTTGATTTGCCAATTCAATATTCAAAAATATTTTTAAAATACGTATTTTTCAAATCCATATAATTTTTATTTAAAACTTTTTTTGCGTGTCTGCAACACAAATTCAAATATTTAACAATTACGCACTAATGGGACATCCTGTATAAATTATATTATTATTAATGAAAATTTCTTAGAATGTGGTACTTATCGGTTTGGGTCCTTGGGAAAACGAAAGAATGTTTTCTTGCAGGTATAACCCTTATTAAAACAGCTTTTGACTGCACAGACAGAATGATGTCTTTTTTTCACTCATTCTACTCACAGTTAAAAAGTCACCAAAATAATAACAGTACCTTTAACTTAACACAACAGGCAGCTCAAACAAAATCAACGAAATTATAGGCTCAACGAAATTATGCAATCAACGAAATTATACGCACGGCTCAATCCTTACCTAAGTACGATTCTGAACGCCAAAGCCGTCTTTTCCGTCCGAAGGAGGAGCTTAAGCAATGCGCGACGGGTTTTAGTGTTTTAGCTGTATTGTATAAGCTGTGGCCAATGCGCTAGTTCAGTGATGATGTAATTATGGTTCCACTGACAATTAAAGTGACAGTAGATTTTTTGAGTGCGTTTTGTTCATTTTATTTGCCTAAATTATATCGTTTTTTTCACTTTTATAAATATATTCCTAAAGTAAGTAGCATGTATCAAATATACAATCGTTTAGTTACCAATTACATTCCTTTAAACTATGTTTTATGACCTGTAAACAATATTTTGAAATAAAATAAAAACAGTAAAAACGTATATGTCAAATTTATTGATATTTTTGTTAAAAGTTTGGTTAGAATTAAATGTCAGTGGAACCAAAATGACATCACACTGAACTAGCGCATACTGTCTTAAATGACTATTGTCACATAGACAAGAAGACTGCTAAATGATCACAGAAGACAATAAAATGGTATTTCCAAACCCCGCTCTAAGTTGATTCCAAAATTAACACCTGAAGTCAAATTCATCTTTAATTATTAAAAAAATGCCAGAATACAAATACATCAACAGATATTACCTAATGTGGACATTATTTTTCTCGTTATTATGCAGTATTTGTTTGATCATAACCGGTTCCGTACCTTGGCAGACCAGTATTCTAGAAGAAGCTCTAGTAGATACCAAAAGATGGCAACTGAACATTGGAATATTCATTTGCCTGCTGGTTGTGGTCGGTACCGTTTCGTTCGAAGCTGGAAGCAAAGGTTTGAGTTGGTTGTACGTATTTTGTACTCTATCGCTAGCTCTGGTCGCTTTCGTTCACGCCATCATAGATATGGACGAGGAGAACGACGCTTTGGTGAGGACCCAGTTGTTGTTGGACAAATATTTCGACAACTATGGTAAGTTTAGTTATATGACCCTATTATATGAGCAACTGTACCTGGAAAACGACAAAGCATCTCTTCTAGTCAGCAAGGGAGCTGAGGAAACTAATTTGACCAGAACCCACATGTGAAATTTCATATAAACATGTTAAAGAGGTCCTAATGGACCATATAAATAGAGAAAACCATAAGTTCTGGTTGGAACTTCCTGGAATATTCACAGAGGATCTATCCAAGCAGAAAAAATCAACTGCCAAACCTTAGCAGGATCAAACTAAAGATCGTAATAGTATTTTTGTACGGGACACTGTGGCCTAAATCACTTAAGGATATCTGATGACACCCTATCCTGTAACCTGGAGAAATCGTGGAAGCGTCCGTTGGACATATTCTTGAAATAATCAAGAATAGCTGAGAGGGGTACAATAAGGTTTAGTACACGTGGGGTTTAAACCACATCTTATTTTAAATAGATAGGTATAGAGATAGATAGATATAGAGATTGATATTGATATAGAGATGATATGACATATATAGTTAGATGGATATATAGATAAATATACAGTTGTACTGCTGAAGGGTTGAAGGTTCTATTAGACGTGTTTGGACTCCTTTTCTTGCGGGACTATAATAACAAGTACAAAAAGTATTGGAATCTGACAGATATGTATAATAATTACTCTAGCCTAAACTATGTTTGAGTAGTTCCCAAACACGTCCACCTCTTCAGTGTCATTGAAGTTGTGGGTGGAGTAAAAGAGAGTGTAATGAAAGATGAATTATTGATTACTGTGAGGGTGCCATGACCAAAAAGGAAGACTAAAATGTAAGTTAGTTTATGTATAATGTTAACTTGGTTACATTCAGTTGTGTTTTCAGTTTCAATTTGTTTAGTTGATCAAGTTGAACACTGTAAGTTTGTTCTATATTTTAAATTTGGGTTATTTCTCATTAGATCATGGAAGTGTACCAGATGGACTGCCTGATTTTAGAAATATATGTTGATTGAAGGAGTCAAAAGAGGTTAACAGCTGTGTGCATGTAGCTTAGATCAGCTAAGAAAGCTTGTATTTCATGTTAAACTTCCTTTATTTAAAAAATGCAAAGCGCTTTCGACATTACGCCATCTTCAGTGCTTTTGATCGACAATAACTATTGGGAAATCCCTAATCTTTTGCGTTTTTATAATAAAGAATTATTAATATTCTCATTATCAGCTGTACAGACGGTTACTGTATCAGAGTTTAGTTTTGTTGCGTATGAAAAGTAAAGAATACATTTTAAAAAGTTTGCCTTCTTAAAGTGGTTTATTTTTCTGGATAGAATCCTCTTGAGATTTAACTACAAAAACGTTTTCATCATATTACAAGTGCGTGATAATGACCCTACATCTTGTTGGAAGAATAGTTGTCCCTATCATCAGGAGCTTCACATTTTTGCTGATATATTAGGGGTGAGTTATCTTGTACGGTTACATCCCTTTGATTCCAAGCACCATGTGTTCATTACGTATAAGTGCTTAATATCAGTCTTCGCTTTTCGAAGCGGTGTTCCTTCTTGGGCAGCTAGTCTTGGATTCCTGTTATTCCATCCATGGATCTGGCAATTAACATTAATATTACTCTCCTCCTTTTGTGTACCGTACCAAGGGTCCATACCAAAACTTTCGGTCAGTTCCTATCCACCTCTACACTAATTTGATTGTACCACACCAAACGCTTTCGGTCAGTTCCTACCTCATCAACACTAATTTTGTTGTTAAGGGTTGGTGCCGCTTTTATATTAATTGCTAAATTTCCCCTATTTTCTCACATAATATTGTATTTTCTTTTCCCACTATTTTAATAGTAGTTTGTAACCTTTTTGGAGATTTTCCTAGTATTATATTTACATTTTAACTTATCACATAAATTTTAGACCTGATGATGGCTTAATGCTGTCTTTTAACAACATTAAATAAATTGTAAGGACCTATTTTGAGTTTTTCTTAAATACCTTTCATGAGTTTGTTTAGATAGCTGATTTTTAAGTGCATGGATCCGACCATATCCAGAAGGAGATGGAGCATTTTGTGTCATTTTTGTATTATCAGTTTCGGATTCTAACACAGTCAGAGTTTCTTAAACTGTGTTCCACGGAAACCCATCAGGCAAGGGTTTCGCGAAACTATTATGACAACCGCATTCTAATGCTCTGTATGTTCTTGTTCAAATATTATTATATCTGTAAATTGACTACTCCTCACCACCGTGTACCTTTTTGATAAACATATCACTGAAATCATATAGTACAACTGAACATTATCGTATTCATTGCAGAAGACCCGAAAAAAATCGCACACGTGAACAACTTCCAGAAAAGAATGCGCTGTTGCGGTTTGAAAGACAAGAACGAGATGATGCGAGGCGAGTTGTGTCACTTCGTGAAGAGTTGCTGCTATTGGAGGGTGAAAAATTGCACGGACAAGGTAGTGTACAAAGAGCCCTGTTACGGCAAAGCCAAACACGTGATCCATTTGTTACGTATGTGCGCTGCGCTCGGCATCATTTCCGGTTCGGTGCAGCTATCGGTGCTGGTCGTGTTGGGAGTGGGGGCTTTAAAGTATATTTATCATCTAATATTTCCACCTGGCGGTCCTATTATTACCGAATGATAAATAAATGTCTTAAACGTATTTGTCTTTTCTTTTTCATTTAGAAAACAATTGTCTTTTTAATTTTTGAAGTAATGTGGAGGTGCCTTACGATTAGAGATAAACACCCATACATATTGATAACTAGCTGTTGGCAGCGACTTTGTTCGCGTGCTTTCATGTTTTTAATATAAAAAAATGCATGATAACAGCGATAATATGTTTTTTACGGTTCATAGTATGCATGTGATAGTATATTATACAAATTTGCCGCGTATATCCCAAGGGACAATTAGTAAAATAGAGAAGCAGTTTCGCGTGCTTGGATATCTAAGACACAGCTCACTCGGACCAGTTGAATGTTCCAAAATAACATCCACTCGAGGGATACAAATTCAAGATGCGCAGAAGACTGCTGTTTGAATATAGGAGGTTGTCATATATTGTATTGGTTATGATTTGATTCTGTATGTCCCAGAGATACAAATCCGAGTTGCGCAGTGTATAAACTGGAACATTGAGATCAAAAGTGCCGACGCAGAGTGAGCGAACTGATTCTTTAGCTATAAACTGTGTCTAATAAGGCATATAAAAACAGCTAACAATGCAATAACTGATGATACCAAATTGGATATTATGCTTGAGTTTTAGGAACACTCATATACTTCTAGTCAACAACCAGCCCCCCAATGTTCGATATTAGCCATTTATCGATTATTCGAACATTAAAAGAAAATAAAATGCTCATGGAAGACGGTTTTGATAGGAGAACGCGATGAGTGTACCTTTACACTTCATGGTCATGCCAATTGTCAAAATTGCCGCTATTGGTCTAGGGAAAATTGGAAAACAAAGCGAAACGATTGAGATAAGCAACATTTTTTCCAGGATCGCAATTAGTAAATCTATATTCTAAATTCCTACATTAAGTATACATAATACACTGGTGTGTAGAACATCATATTTTATTGATATTTTGTACTAAATGAAAATTTTCGAATTTGTCAAAAATAAACTTACTTTACTCTTGAGCAAAATTCATTGTTTTTTGACAAACCTCGTATACGACTTGAAAAATTTGATATCTGATGACTGTATTTTAAGTTTTGAGTCATGCAGGACTTTTTATCAAGAATAACTTTTTTTCCTAAAATCAATAATACATTTTTTTTCCATATGGTTCCAACTTAAGTAGACACAGACACAGACAGTATGTATAAAGCTAATTTAAAATAATATTTAAAATCCTACGGCGATTTTGTCTGCAATTTACATAAAATAATTTATTTACACACTTAAAAGCCAAAACAGTAATTTTAGGTAACGTCCTAATATTTTTTAAATAGTTTTTGGTGTGTAGTGGAAAATTTAGAAAAGTGGACTTTGCTACAATTGATATTAGACGCTTGAATCATGATTTGAATTACATTTCGGTAAAAATTTACACTTTGTCTCCAAGGTTGAACTTTGATAACTTCTTGGTAGCTAATGTGTTAAAGGTTAAAATAAAAATTGATGCGTTTGGGATATTTTAGTAGTTGAGCATTCCTATTGCTTTACTAACCTTGGTCACCGCGCTAAAATTTCAAGCAACGATCGATCGTCGTTCCGTGCTCAGGAGCGTCTAAATGTAGTTCTGTTTACCGACGTTGCCAAATGTACATTTGACGATATTGATATGCGTAAAATTCCCAAATTCTTCGATCATGTGTTTTCTGTTTGGCCTATTTTTTCTTATTCTTATGTATTCGCAATTTTTTGTGTAATTATTAAAGTAAGGTGTATTTTCTCTACTTAATTTTAACATTCGTTTATAAAATTAAACATTAATTGCTTGATAAAATTAATTATCAACTTTGACTATCATAGCTATTATACAAGAAATAGATCTAATTTTCATATTCCGCAAGTTGCAGGTAAATATTCCCAAAATTCAGTATTTTTTAATGGACTTCCAGCATTTAATGAGTTACCCCTAAACTTTAGAGTGAGGTATATCAATGATTGTCATACTCATTTATTCTCTGTACAGTCTGTTCGCTATACTTACCCGGGTTTCGAATTAAAAATTTCCAGGTAAGTACCCGAAACTTTGACCTGTTCTTTGGTCAAATATCAACTGGTTAAATGAAATGAAAAATAATGTACAACTTTTTAATTAAATAATAATAATAATGGAGAATCTTTTGTATAAATGAGAGCAGAATTAAACTTCTTCATTAATGGAGTCTAATGTGGCTATTATAAACCTAATAATAATTTTATATTACACTTCACACAGTAAATATGGTACCTACCCTAATGTTATTTTAATTTAAATCTGACCATTAGGGCAATTTTACCTAATTTCTTGGGAAGGGGTTTATTGGAACTGGTTGTCAATGACTAAATTGCATAATTTTGTTAATCCGAAACCCGCGTAAGTATACCGGCACGATAACTCTAGAACGAAAGTTCTGATTGACTTGCGGTTTTGATTTTCTTGAATAATTACTTCTAACTTAGAACCCTATTGATTTTCAGAATTTTCGGTTCATCCTAACTACTTTATAATCAATTTTCTTAAAATCTGCATATGCATTTCTTATGTCACGATTTTAGGAATTTCAATTATTTCTAAGTCAACATTCCTAACATTCTTAAAATTCCATAAATTGCAAACATTCTCTAACGACTTGTCAAACAACAGCTGTTGATAGTAAAGGTGAAATTTCTAAGGCGGGTTGCGACCTTCATACTTGCAATCATAACCATTTTGGAGGCTATTTTTATTCGAAATTAGTAGCCAAGCCTGCCAATTTATGAAAAATATATAAGCAATTTCTTAAAAATGACTTTTTTATGGTGGTGCTAACTTAAGCGTACTACTATTTCGCCTCTAGCCACAAAAACACCTTCATCAAATTTATTGGCTCTCTGTCGCAACCCCATAGAATAATTAACCGGCCATTTTATTTGGCAAAAATCAGATAATGCTTGGCTGTGCCTGTCAAGTATCAAGATGTCAACTGTGATGTGTGAATGGCTTTTAAATGTCAAATTATTTAAAATGTATACTTCTTTTGATATTTATTGCAAATAATTTGTAGTACATCTCAATTCAGGCTTTCCATAAAGGTACAGCAAGATAGATAATATAATGTTCTTATACAAAGGTAGGATATAATGCTGGTTTTTTTGTAGAAAATTTTTATTATACGATTTTGGATTACATATTCAACCAGCGAATTGTAAATAATAATTATTAAACTTCTAGTCATAAATTTTCTCAATAAATAAAATTTAAAAATGAATCTTCTTACCTTGGTACCGAGGTATTTTGTTGTGTTTTTTATTTTAATTATAAAGTTGTCATTTATTTGTATGTTGAAAGAAGGCCTTTGTAAATTACATTGCTCTCTATGGATCTACTTTAACACAAACATAGTTTTGTAACTATAAGTTGCTATAGTTGCTATAACCTATCGTCTCAAAACTATTAATAATTTAAACATAGTAAGTAGTATTATTATAACATCAAGTAATTTTTTAAAATAAAGTACATGATCTCAAAATAGAAATAATTTATAATAAATGCGGGTAGAACGAGGGGTAAAATAACAATAAATTAAGGGAAATACTTAAAAAGGGCAGGTTTAAAGAATATTATAACAAGAAAGTATATCCGTTCTGTTTATTTATCAAGTATTGTTTGAAGTTACTTTTGAATAAATTTATTGTTTTTTTTTAATTTCTGTATTAAATTTTTTAAACCTTTAATAAAAATTGTATTTTGGGAACTTTTAGTTCTGGCTTGCCATACATGAAAGTCAGATTGGCTTCTTGTATTTTAGTTGTGATATTTCGAATTATATTGAATTTTTTCTAATAGATTGATGCGATGGTACTATGTCATTTTTATTTTATAAATAAATATCAGTCATGTACTGAACATAATTCTGAACTGAAAGCCAATTTATTTCTTTTAACATAGTTGCAATACTCATATCCTTCTGTCCTTTTATTAATATTATATAAACAGGCGAAGTAAGGAGCCCAAATATTTTATATGAGCAGGTTTAAGAGGTAAAGGGGCCAATTATTATTGGATAAATTGCTCAAACAAGTTTGTAAACCCTAATCAAAAGGCGATATAGAATGGTTTTAAAAATCAAGGCTTATGGAAATTATCACATGGTTTAACCTAATTAATGCCAATGCTTCACAAACCAAAAAATTTAACGTCCTAAGGGGTCTATTCTGTAACAATTCCTTTATGTATTAACGGCCTTTAAAAATATTTTCTTCTTTACTTCTGTCATTATTTAAACGGATCTTTAAAATACATTAGCGGACTATCTTAAAGAAATCTGTTTAAATAATGACAGAAGTAAATTAACGAATACGAAAATATTTTTAAAGGCCGCCAATATTTTTAAAGGCCGCTAAATATAAAGGAATTGTTACAGAATAGACCCCTAATACTATTATCAGCTTTCGGTCTTTCGTTCCAAGTTAAATCATTTCTCGTTTTTGTTACGCTATAAATTTAGCCTTGTTGGCCTCAGTCTCGATAAGGTGGGAACCACCATTTTAGCGTCTCTCGAATTTTTTTGATAATCACATGACAAATCCAATCTTTTGGAAAATATAACGCGTGCGTTATGTTCGATGCGAGTTCCTCGTTAGGACTGACATTCGTAAAATTGTCGATTATAATCACAACAGTTATCCATATTACATTAAATGATACAACTGATAAAACTTTTAAATTTGTCGCCTTAAAAACTGTGTACATGTGGCAACGTTGGTAAAGAAAACTACAATTAGACGCTCCTTCCATGTTCCGTGCTCGAATCAAAATGGCGGCATCATATGTTTTCTGTCGACTTCAAACTTCAAACCGAGAGGTTGACGTTTTGGTTTTAGCAATCGAGATAAGTAAAAAGGATGCGGACGACGACGAATCTAATCAGGTTCTTCATTCTAATAATTAATAATAAGTAACGTCGCGATTTAGAATCTCGATCATCGTTCGCAACGCGAAAATTAATAATTCGTTTTATTGACACATGGGCGCACATTCATTGTTAAAATCATCGTCAGTGATAAAGTCTATCGGGAAATCGTTGTAGGTAATTTTAAGTTGAAATTTCCGTGTTAAATTGTATGTTATTTTGGATTTTATGTGCAGTAAGAAATGTCGACAGTAAGTAGAAAATATATTTACAATAAATTAATGTATCTTTCTATTTCCCAATATAAATCCTTGGACCATTGAACTTATGGATTAATTTCAAGCTAATGTTATTGTTTATTAACAATAACAAACTTACCTTTGTTTGGTGATAAAGAAATTAATGAAAATGCTTTTGTAAGCGTTTTATTGTTAGAAATATTTTATTAGGTGTGGATTTTTTTTAAATTAAAATTGTTTTTAGATTGAGTTTGAAATAGTTTTAAAATTTTAATTGATGATTTGTGAATTCAAAATGACAAATAATTAGATATACAGCGTGGCAACTATTTTAAATGCGCTATCGATTGCGACAAGATTAGAGTTGCCAGGTTTGTTTTTTTTTTAACATAAAGGGACAAATGAACAAAATAGAAAAAAATATGGGGTAAATGTGTAGTTTGAGCTCTTTATGATTACAGAACAACTAAGCATAGGTACTTGTAGGTTTTGCTATTGTAAATATAAATACCTAAGTTTAATAACTTGTGCAAATGAATAATAAGGACAAATAATTTTTTTAAATAAAAATATACCATTTTTTTAATGAATGATATCAATTTTACAGGAAAAGGAGTGAATAGGGGTGCTCACAGGGTAAAGCAATTTTAATAGTTATAATATAAAATATTGTAAGGGCAAGTAAAAATATTGAGAGATGAATTATTTTACTTTTGATAATAAATAACCCATACAGCACAAACACATTTCGGAAATATTTCAACAATGTTACATTGAAACATTTGCAATGTTGTATAAATATTACGAAACACCCTGAAATATGCCTGAAACGTAAAAATGTAATGTAAATATAATATTTCACAGTAATATTTCTGAAATGAAAATTTGAAATCTTTTAGAAATATTAAATACCTAGTAATATTTCAGAAATGTATTCTAGTTTTTTTTTTTCTAATATATTATTAGACTAAAAAAAGACATTTAAAAATATACATGTTTATTTAAAATACAAAAAAAATCAAACATTGATTCTTAAACAAACAAATAAGTAAATAAATATTTTTTAAAGAATATTTTATAAAATATAGAAGCGAATTACTTCATTTCCACCAATTCCTTTAAATGCACTAATTTGAAACAAAAATGATAATATATAATTAAATTTATAAATTTATAATTAAAAAGGATATATACAAATTATTTGATTGACAATAGTTTTATTAATATTGTTTTAAATTAACTATAATAAAACAATACTCATGTCTAAACAAAACATAAAGATCCACCTAAGAATTATTTATGTAGTTCTCACCTTAATTTCTAAAGACATATTCTGCTTCCCATATTACAAGTTCACGAGGCATGAATATCAAAAACCAACAACTCAAATTTATAATTATTTAGAATATAGGTTTGTTTCTATAGCTAGTGGCTGGACATGGACATGATGAAATAAAAGATAAAATGACTAGGTACATTCAGGGCTGGTATATCTAAGGGGGTCACGACATAAGAGGTTATGATGGACAAGTAGGTAATGTTATTTTTAACAGACACTTTATTTGTGAATAATTTGTTATTTCTGTGTGTTTATAAAATAACAGACCTGTTAAAAATAACACAGGTCATCAATCATAGCCCCCATAGACCCAGTAAATGGATGAGGGGGTGACTGAGGCTAGGGGGGAAATAGTAGTCAGCTTAAGTTGGCAACACTTTTCTGATGTTCATTTGGCAAAATCCACGGTTATGGTTTGTCCTGCCGTAATAGTATTATAAAAACAGACACAGATCTACTTTTAATGTGCATCGTGCATAATATTGTCAATATGGTACAAGTGGAATGAACCATTGTTTTCCTTATAGTCGAATTAAAACTAAAAACATTTTGTACTTTTTTATATACAAAATTATGCAATTTGTTTCCACTTTATTTTAATGTTACATGAATAGGTACATGCGTTTGTGCTGTGGTAAATAAGTGTTCATGTGAAAATTATCTCTGAAAATGCATTGTGACTGCACTCATCTCAAAATTGCATGCTGTAAATCCAGGATTTAAATCTTTCATAGTGTTGCTTCTGATAAATTGTAAAAAGGTGTTGGACAAAACATTTACAACCTAAAATTGCATGGAAAACATCATAGAAGAAGTAATTTTACCTTTATGACATTCTCTTTCAACATTTTGAAGTGACTAAGTTTGTGGTTTGGTGAATATACTCAGTTACCACAGTCAAAGAATTCAAATTAAAAAAGTGACTAAGTTCTAATAAGAATACATAAGTTGAATATGAAAATGTACTTGATTTAAATATGATTTAATTAAGAGCTAAATAGATGTTTCATATAAACAAAGTGCTGTAAAATGTTGATAAATGCAAAACCATTATTAAAGAGAAATTAGTTATCATCAATAGGATATTTTGTAGGAGCTGGTCTCTTTAAATAATAAACTTGAAAGACTGTGAATTAGTAGTCATTTTTACACTAGAAGTAAAAAAAGTGTGGTTAATTTATGTATTTATATTTAACATGTTTTATTTAAATAAAAAAAGGTGTTATTTGAAATGTTTTATTTTAGTTTAATAATGTTTATAAATTGTGGGTACATTTGATCAGAATCTTGCTTAATACTATAAAATGCATATACATTTCTATATGGCTAGAATTGGAGTAGAAGCACAAGTTTTGATTAAAAATATATTCACTAGATATGCAAATTTAGGTAATTTCCTATTCGAAGCCATACAGTTTCCTATTATTATAGTTTTCATACGTTTATAATTCTGGAGATACTGAAATATTTTGCTTGATTACTAAACTTTGGTTGTTCTTGTTGTGGTCTGCTGTTAATACTATTGTCCTGAAATATTAAAAAAGCTAGATAAAGATTTGTCCAACTCTTTTGTCAGCTTTGTTAATCTATGCTACTGTTATTCTGCATGCAGACATTTTTTGCTGGAGATTTTCTCCAAAAACTGTAATCTGTTTCAAATTTCGGCCAGTTTTAGGAAAGCACCTCTGTTGTAAAGGTATTTCAAAGCCATCCTTTGTAAGATGTAGCCAACAAATACGTGCTAAAATGTATAGAAAACAAATCGCAAGATATTACACAAAATTATTTAAATTAAATAAAAACATACAAATGAAGTGAATAATACCTACCAATAATTTAAAAAGACCTAAAATAAATAGACTTTGGAGACTGGAGCTCTAAAAAAGGGAGCCATAATTTGTTATGCATCCTCATCTATAAGAAAATTGTCATCTCTTCAATTACCTTTTAAAATAAACCAAACCAAAACAGCACAAAATTGAAAGTGACCTACTTTTCACGACGTATTCTATGTACATGTGAGATTATTAATAATTTATTGAATTGAAATATTTTATCCTAAAAAATATGGGCATTTTATAATGAAAATAGCTGCGTTCAATGAGTGTATCGAATTATTGCTGCGATTAGGGTAGCAGGATCAGCTTGCTGAATGGTACGCTTCCATACGTTCAATTTTAATAAATTTGTGTCCAACGACAATTCTAGTTTAATAAAACGTAGCATTTGCAATAGAAAGTGAACTTGTTTATTTGTCACTTGGTGTTTTGACCCACATTCTACAATAATTTTTATATTTAGGTATTTCTGTTTATAATTTTTATCACTTTGTAAAGCACAACCAGGTTGTTAAAGATATATTTTTCAAGCAATCGCAAATTGCGATAGATTTTAGGAGTTTTAGGTTATTTTTATTAGCTTTCCCGCTCAAATTTCGCGATAGCAGCAGAAAGGAGCGTAAAAAGTAAAAATTAAATGCTTTAAAATGATACGGATCGATACAAATTGATACCTATCATAGAACGAATGTGATTGGTATCGGTTGGGATCGCTATGTCTCATTGAACGCAGCTAATAGGTCTTTTCCTTTGCATCGAAAGTGTAGCACTGAGCTACACAACTTCTGAAAATATTGTTCCATTTATACAAATTGTATGAATGGAACAATATTTTCAGAAGTGACGTAGCTCAGTGCTACACTATCGATGCAAAGGAAAAGACCTAATGGCATTTATAGGTTGCCACGTTGCCAGATCAATGGGCAACTACCGCATACTTTGATTTTCTTTTACTATACTGAGAATAGTCGCACTGCGCAGCTTTCTGAGTGCCTTTTAAAAGGAGAAAAAACTCCGCCATTTTGAACCCTATTACGTGTTGCCTACATCTTGGCGCAATATTTTTAATAGGTGCGTTTTAATCATCCGCTTCTGCTTTGGAATTGTCGGTTTTCTTGTTTTAATCTGACAGGTTAGAACGACTGAACCGACAATTCCGGAAGTAGAAGCGGATGATTAAAACGCACCTGATATTTTGCTTGCTGCTGTCAGTGTCAGTGAATATTATTTTTGGAGTCACAGTTTATTGCTAAAGAATCAGTTAGCTCTCTCGGACAAGTTGAAAGTTCCAAAATAACATCCACTCCTGGGGGTCGATTCTCGACTTGTAGGAACCTTTTCCTATAGGAATTTGTGACACTTTCCTATATGTAGGAAAATGTCATAAATTTTCGATGTACATAAAAATGTCAAAAATTCCTATAGGAAAATATTCCTACGAGTCGAGAATCGACCCCCAGGAATACAAATTCAGGATACGCAGAAGACTGGTGTTTTATTATAGGCGGTTGTCATATATTGTATTATCTGAGTTGCGCAGTGTATAAACTGGAACATTGAGATAAAAACTGCCGACGCAGAGTGAGCGATCTGATTCTTTAGCTATAAACTGTGTCATAGGGTTCAAAATGGTCGCGCCCTATGTTGGGCGTGTCGGACCTCTCTCTTGCCCCGTTTAGTAATCAAAGTATGTGGCAACTACTATTTCGAAAAAAATGGCGTCCAAAATGGACTCCTATGTCACGGCCCCCTTAGATATACCAGCCCTGAAAATAACTACATATCCCATCTTCTTCTTACAAATCAGAAATTAATTGTTGGCCTTTTACAACATAACCCGTTTAGTAACCTTTTGTGTAACATGTATACCATATGTTTCAGAAACATTTGCAGTGAAATATTTAACTAAAATATTTTAGAAACTTGTGCTTGAAATGTTATATGTTTGAAACGTTTGAAATATTTCTGAAATAATGTGTGCTGTATGGGATGGACACAAATAATTTTTTTAAATAATAATATGCCATTTTTTTATTTTTAGTTATCAATTTTACGGAAAAGGGGTGCTGGTAGGATAAAACAATTTTAATGATTATAATATACACCCCACAAAAAGTATCGCATCACTAAAATGTTTGCAATGTATGTTTATAAAAACAGGCAGTGCTAAAAAACTGTATTTTTCCTCTAATAACAGAGAGAATAAAACAATAAAAAAAATAAAATTTTGCGAAAAATGAGGCTAAAGTAGGCTATTAATTATAACACGCTATTATTGCTGGTACACTCCACAGGGTGTTACGAATTTTCCAATCAAAAACCTATATTATTGTAACATCCGGTATACACTCTAAAATTAAATTTTATTTAAAGAATCAAAGAGATTACAATTCCTGAAGAATCAACTTATTTTCCAAAAAAAGAATATCCAAATCAATCAAACGGTTCAAAAAAAAAACTCCAAATTTTTGAAAACTATTAGTGATGCGATCATTTTTGTGGGGTGTATAATATAAAATATTGTAAGGGCAAGAACAAATATTAGAAATGAATTATTTTACTTTTGATAATAAATAATAGGAAAGTAAACTTTTTGTGCGACTTGGCAACAATGTAAGACATAAAAGTAGCATCTCTGAGCTTTGATTTGAGACAATTTGTAAAATGTTTTTATTTAAAAAAATTAATTGTGTCATTATTAATTTGCACAAGATATGGACCTAAGATTTTTTGTTTATAATAGTGATGCCTACAAAATGCCATCAAATATTTTAATAATTTTTTTTTTAAACTCAACATTACAAATTATTTTGCATATTTTGAAGAAGGCTGCGTTCGGTTTTGGATTTTTTTATTGCCTTTTACGTATTTATAAAACTCTTTACAACTAATATCATAATTAAAATATGAGACAGAGGCTAAAATTTTTTTTGAAAAATAGAGTATGTCCCACTAAATATGGGACGTCTGGTAAATAAGGTATGAAGTTGCTTAAATTCGCCAAAAGTTGCCAGTTTCAAATATTATTTAAGTTTTTCAAATAAATATTAAAAAAAAAAGGAAAATCCGCCATCGGTCGAATCGGCTATTGTTTTTTTAGACCATTTTAGACCCTCTAAAACACATTTCAAAATACTTTTTTTGCCCTGCAAATGCTTGAAAATATTTTTTTCCTGCCTTAAAATTTTCAAATGTTGAAAAAAATTGAACTACATCATTTTGATAAATTTCTTGTTATAGAAACTGCTAAATAATAATAGAACATCTGTAAAGCTATAAACCATTCCAAATTCTTTAAAATAGTTTATTTTCTTAATTTAAGCTCATGTTCAAGTTCGTCTGAATTATTTAATTTTCGTAAACACAATGACAATTGACATTGGAAGTGTGACATGTTTCTAAAAGAAATACAATGTTGCCATATCAATTACTACATGTCAATGGTCAATTTTATCTATGCCCTGTGTTGTACCAGGCCAAAAAATTGGTTTCAGTATCAGGAAAATTGTATAAAACTAACGATTTAAAAAATGTCGATATCAAAATCTTCGTCCTCATCCTCATCGGCGTAATTACATAAAATAGGAAAAATTATTCAAATATTAACTAATTTACCTAACCTGAGCGGCCTGGAGTCATCGCGAGTTGCTTTGTAAAAAATATATACATAAAATAAAAGATTTAAACAAATATTAATTAATTTACCTAACCTGTTTTTTTTTCAGCAATTTCAACTTTTTAATAATTAATCGAACTAAAAAGTAAAAAATAAATATAGTTTAAAAAACTCAAAAACACGCTTTTATAATACATCGAACTAAAAAGTGAAAAATAAATATAGTTTAAAAAAACTAAAAAACACGCTTTTAGAGTATATCAAACTAAAAAGGTAAAAATATTTATTTAACACGCTTTTATTCAAATAAGCTTAAAACTTAAAACAATAATAAATAGAAAATGCTAAGTAGTATTATTGTGAAAAAAGCGTGGGGCGCTTTGTCCATATTTCTCATACATCGAGCTCTAAAAGCTTGATTTTTAGTTTTTTAAACTATATTTTTTACTATAAATTGCAACGGACTATACCGATGTTGTTTTAAACATATTAATATTTTATTGTATAAATATTTAACGTCTCTACTGTTTATCACACAAAAGTAAATATGTTATTCACATTTTGAAATTTTATTGAAATAATTAATCCCTAATTTTTTTATAGAGGAAAAATATTGTCGTTTTGAAATATTCATATTACGTTGTTCATTGCCAGTTTCTAATCTGTATGTATATCGTATAAAAATATAATATTGCATGATGTATGCATAAAATAATTGGAATAGTATTTAAATTACTGTAATATAATAATAAAATGGACCACATTTTTGATTCAAAGATCGTCGGTATGTCTGTTGGCAATAGCACAGCTTAAAGAATATTATATTTTTTAAGCTGTGGCAATAGTATAAAATGAAAATGAGGCTGCTTGAAAATATAATAATAGCTCGTAATAAAAGAAATAATTACCGACGAAATTTTAGGAATATTCCATGGTAAAATTCATAATTTGACTGAAATGGGAAAAATTTATATAAATTAGAAATAATATTTCGAACAGTAATAAATAAATAATTACTGCGTTAAATGTTATATAAAAATGTTAATGATTTGGTAATTACTAATTTGTTTACAGCGCTAAATGTAAATATTTTCGTTTACTTTAAATTTTTTCAATAAATTCTTCACTGTCATTTTTATTAGTAAATATCCACTATTAGAAAAAAACATCTGGAAAAAACTTCTATTAAACATTGCATCTTTTTTTTTCAGAGTTACAATATTCGCAATCGTTTCAACGAAAACGAACCCAGCACGAGATTCACAGACAACAAATATGAAAAATACAAATTCCATCGACCCATGCCCTACGTCCATTTCCTGGGACTCCTGTGCCTCATCGTCATAGTATTTTCTCTAGTCATATTCATCGAAAAACAATTACCAGTAGGTCTAAGAGTAGAAGACGAACGCAAGTATCCGGATACCTTCATAGCCGAAAGGTAAGAAAAAACGAGGATGGGTCTCTGATACCGCTCTAGGTTTAAAAGGTCTCTAAGACCGCAGTTGGATTAGAGAGTCTCGGAAACCGCAGTTGATTTAAATAGTCTGTGTTTGATTTAATATTAACGTTTTTTAAGTCACTAAAGCAGTTTTTTTTGTTTAATTGATATTGTGGGTCTGAGATACCCCATAGGCGGATATTTTAATGTTTTCTTCCCTTATTTTTTTGTTTAATTTTTTGTTATTAAAAGTTACAAGACTAAAACCGTATACTTTTTATTTTATTTTGTTAAAATAAACGTTTTTAAATAATATTTTCGAAATTTTTAATTTGATTCAAATCGTACGAATTGATATTTGTTGAAAATAAAACCGTTATAAACTGATTTATACCGCTAGGGTTCTACAGACCCGTTGTAACAATTTGATGTAGCGACATTCTTTCAGGGCGTACAACGTATTGAAAAATCTAACGAAAATGGGACCCCGACCGGCCGGCAGCTACGAAAACGAAGTCCTGGCGGTCGACGTGTTAAAAACCGAAATAGAAAACATCATGATAGGCGCAAACGAACATCATCTGATAGAATTGGACGTCCAAAAGGCGTCTGGGGCGTTCAATTTGAAATTTTTGGACGGCATGACGAACGTTTATCGAGATTTGCAGAACGTGGTGGTGAAAATTGGATCGAAAATAAATTCGCCTCACAGTTTGCTCATAAATTGCCATTTTGATTCTGTAGTGGACAGTCCAGGTAAGCAGTAAGGGTGGTTTTAAACAGGTTTGGGCTGGTTTGAATCATGGATTTAAATTATTATTATAATGGGGTTTGTTTTGGTTCAAACAGAACCGTTGTTAAAACGAAGTCTGGAATACAGGAGAACAATTGGTGTTTTAATATTTTTTGAAAAATGTCGTCTTAATTTTTTATCAATTAGAAAGTTGTATTTTTGATAATATATTTTGAATTACCTCTGCAATTTTCCATTTAATATGAACGGGTAGGTGTCCTGTAATAAATAATTATTTTTTACAACCGTCGATTCCAGTTCTTAAATACTGTGGACGAATTAATTTGTCAAAAACACGTTGCTAGGTTATAACAACCACTTAGTTGATCGAGTGTAATTTAGTGATTCTGAACTAGTTTCTGAATGATTTAAATTAGGTGATTTTTATACTTTTTTTTTTCAATAAATACAAATATATCAACATAATATTAAAATATTTTTTTATACAACTACATGGATATTAGTTTATCTACACACAGATTATATATGTGATTATATATTATATATGTGTGCTCCTTCAAAGCTCTTTGAACAAATTATTTATAGTAAACTGTATGAATTTGTCGAAAATACCATTGTAGAACAACAACACGGGTTTGTATCCAAAAAATCTGTGAATTCAAATCTGTTAATATACATCAACGAAGCAAATGACTCATTAGAAAATAAGACTCAACTAGACACAATATTTACAGATTTTAGCAAGGCCTTTGATAAAGTGGATCATGGCGTCTTACTACAAAAGATTTATCGTTTTGGACTATCTGAAAATATTATGAATCTTTTTAAAAGTAATTTACAAAATCGATTTTTTGTAGTAAAACACGATGGAAACACTTCAGGTAAATTTCACGCTTCATCGGGGGTTCCACAGGGATCTAACTTGGGTCCCTTGTTTTTCCTCTTATTTATTAATGATTTGCCAGATGTTATTAGATATTCCAAATGTTTACTTTTTGCTGATGATGTAAAAATATTTAAGCCTATACAAACCGTTAGAGATTGTTCAGCTTTGCAAAAAGATATAAACAGTGTATTGGAATGGAGTGCTCAATGTAAATTAGACTTTAATATTAAAAATGCAATGTAATGTCAATTACTCGACAAAAGGATCCAATTATTTTTGATTACTGTATGGATAATGAGTCACTAAAACGGGTATATGAATTCAAAGACTTAGGAATTACGTATGACTATAAACTATCTTTTAAAAAACACATTGAAAATGTAGTAAAATCTGCAAATCGCGCTCTTGGATTTACGATACGACAGACGTCTCTTTTTGTCAAAATCGATTCTATAAAATTGATATATGTTACGTTAGTAAGATCTAAACTTGAATATGGCTCTGTAATATGGAATGGAGAATACCAAACCATTTTGCAGGAATTAGAAAGAATACAAAACAAATTTTTAAGATACCTTTACTTTAAAAAATACTTTATTAGACCAGATTATAATAGTGTCAGAACAACACAATTACGAAGTGAATTTAAAATACCTTCTTTAGACTGTAGGAGAAAAATGTTTGCTATACTTTTTTTGTATAAAATCATAAATAACCATATAAATTCCGCAGAAATATTGTCAGTTTTGCCATTTAATGTACCTCCTAGACCTACGCGTTCCGCGATTATGTTTAATATTCCCTTTGTAAGTAGCACTCTTCGATCACCTCTCCTAACCATGCTCCGTTTAGCAAATAATATTACTTGCTTGTACGAAGTAGATTGGCATATGCCTCTAATAACATTCAGACACCTAATTTATAGGTATATTGTGAACTTGTCTGTTTAATTATTTTAGTTTTTCCATTTCTTTTATTATATGATTTGCTTTTTATTTTTTAGAATTTTTTTTTCTCAATATGAGTTTGTGTTTAATCCCCCTATATCTATTTATTTAATATGTATATTAATACGTTTTGATCGATTGTGTAAATAATAAATATTGTAAAGTCTATCCTTGTAATTTAGGCCAGTAAGCCTGTTAGGATGGAACAAATAAATAAATAAATAACGAAAAGGTACACTACTACGTTCATATGAACGAATATATTTCATATCCATTCTAGGAAGAGAGAACACTGCAAAAAAATTAAATCCATCAATCACAGTTCATATTATGGACACCCAACTAGTATTATTTTTAAAATTTTAAATATGTGACAATTCTGTCAAAGTAATCGTCAGTATTTTGTAGTTATTAGATTAAACATACATTAAAATGGGTGATTCTTGTGTAGAATCGATGAATAATAGCATTTCGTAGATAGTCCTGTAGTCAGGTTTCTTGCCTTATACACGGAAGACTCGAGTTCGATTCTGGGATGAGGAAAAATTAAATAAACTTTTTTTTTTTCGTGTATTTTATTTTAAAAATTATTAAAAACCAAATTATTTTAAAATTAGTTATTTTGTCTTAATAAACTAAGCTATTTTTTTTAATTTTTCGTTAGTGGGTCGTAGAAAAAATATACTGTGCAACTCGAGTGGATTGTCCACATCGCACTCAGACGATTGAGCACTCCGCCTACGGCGTCGTGCTCAAATTTCGTTTTCGTGCGATATGGCCATCATATCCACTCTTGTTGCACAAACTACTATTTTTTCATGCTTATTTTATTTTATAAATTAGTAAGTCATAAATTATTTTAAAATTAAAAATTTTTAAATGTGTATATTTTCGTTAGTGGGTCGTAGAAAACATATACTGTACAACTCGAGTGGATTGTCCATATCGCACTCCGCCTACAGCTTCGTGTGATATGGCCATCATATATCCACTCTTGCTGTATAAACTACTATTAAAATGAACAGTATATATTTATGTACAGTGCGGTCCATAAGTAACGTCATTCATTTTCTAACGTAATTTACAATTTATGAATAAAAACCTGTAACACATTAATTTTTAATTCTAAAATCACATTTTTTTAAGCATAATTTTATTCCTCTCCTTTTAACTTCAACATTGTGAAACAGTTTGATAGCTCAGGTTTTTTAATTTCTCTACATTTTTTATTGAAACATTAATTTTGGATGTCACTAAATAAACAAAAGAACATGAAACATTCTAAATCAAATGTTCAAACTGACAAAAATGGAAATTATTTTAAAATATTTTGTATCGTTTCCGGGTAGATTTGATTAATTTCTTGCCTTATTTTCTTTTAAATAACCCCAAAAAAAAATAGTCAAGTGGGGTCATATCTGAAGAACGGAGAGGCCACTCAATTTTATCGCGTCTACCGATCAACCTACTAGGAAAGATTTGGTTGAGGTAAGTCCTTACTCCCAGTGTAAAATGTGGTGTAGCTCCGTCCTATAATACCAAATATTTCTATCAATTTCATATGAAGATCAACAGTATGTTAAGTTTCCCACAATGACGCCAAAAGAACGGTATAGAATAAGCGATACTATTGATTAGACAGTGAACAGTGCGCCCGGCTCACTAGTGTTAGAGGTGTATACATCTGTCTAATCACGACAGGCAGTCAGCCTCTATTTCTCTCACCTGCAAATATAATTAAGAGTATCATTTTTATTTCGAAGGATCCATGGGTTAACGTATTATACAGGTTGATTCAAAATTGAGTGCAAAGATTTTAAAGGCGTATTTCCAACCAAAAATAAGAAAAAATTTTATATCTATATGCTTTTTGTTAAACTGTTTTCTTCCAAATGTACTCCTGTTCTGTAATTGGGTTTAACCTGTTGAACAATGTGTAAATAAATAAATAAATAAATATAATCGTATGTCTTAACTTGCTTCGTTTTCTAGATTCAAGGAGTTTTTTAAAAAATTGGGTTTTTTTATCAATTACTCAAAAACCTTTCAGCCAATTTAAATAAAATTTGGTAGGCTTATTTGTCCTCATAAGAGCCTTTTTGACATTAATTCCAGGTCAAATTATGGTACGATACTGATTTTTTCACAATTATAATTCTTTTTTAGATCAAGCGATCAATAATGTAACTTTCTTCTGTTTCCACGAAAAAAAATCTGATGTGTCCAACACGTGACTTTCCTATCTAGTTATTATAGGCTTTTTCCGGTTATTTTGTACAACCTATTGCAGCACCTCTATAAATATTTAGAGGATAAACTAAATATATACATTTTCCACATACATCTACCTCGAAACATTTTTCTATAGATATTCATTGAAAACGAAAATACTGAAAAATTTAAATTTAGCAATCTTCCTCCAATTTTTCCATTACGGTCCATTTTAGAAAAATCATATATAAACAATTTTCATAAAAATCAGAATTTTGCACATTTTGTAAAATTTCTCAAATACGGACCATTTCAGGAAATTTTGACATAAAACAAAAATTATAGATAATATTAGAAGTAACTTTTATTTGAACAATTTTCTTCTCCAAACATAAATAACAGACATATTCCATAAAATATGAAAACGGACTCCCATAAAGTACCCCCCTAGATGTTCCGACTTTGTCCAAAATCTAATCATTTCACGTCAGGCCGAAATAGAACTTAAATTTAAAATGTAATGTTTTTTTCTTTATCCGTTTTCTTCAAAATTCGAAATTTACACATTTTCTCAAATATCTCGAATACGGTCCATTTTAGAGAAATTATGTATAGAATAAAAATTATAGAGAATTATATTACAAACAACTTTTTTTTTTTTTTTTTTTAATGGCACTGGATAAAACCAAAAGGCCAGACTATTGTAGTAATCCATAACTCTTTAATTGTTTTTATAAAAAATGTCTATTTTTTTATTATATGTATTTTTGATTATTTTTTTTTGTATTATTTTTTTAATTTTTTTTTAATTTTTTTTTAATTTTTTTTTTATTTTTTTTTTGTATTATTTTTTTTTTTTTTCATTTTTTCCTTGGTTTCATTTTTTTATTTTATCATTTATTTTATTTTTTGAACAATTTTTATAAAAAAATATTTTTTTTTCATTTTTTAAAATTTCTCGAATACGGACCATTTTAGGAAAATTTTGTAAAGAACAAAAATTATAGATAATAATATTAGAAGTAACTTTTATTTGAAGAATTTTCTTCTCCAAACGTAAATAACAGATATATTCCATAAAATATAAAAATGATCCTCCATAAAGTACCCCCCTAGATGTTCCGACTCTGCCCAAAAACTAATCTGTTCATTGGACGACGGAATAAAGCTTAAGTTTAAAATTTGGTGTTTTTCTGTGTATCAGTTCATGAGTTATGCGACACACAGACACACACACATACAGACATCATCTCGAAAATAGTCAAAACGGATTCAGGGGACCTCAAAACGTAAAAATCCGTCGAAAACTCGAGGTCGAAAAAAATAATGATTCCTATACTTTCCTTATATCTGTATACAGATAAAGTAAAAATCAAAATCTGTACCTGTCTCTATTAAAACAAGTTAAAAAATTAATCACTAATTAATGGAGATTATCGCCAAATAGGTCTGTCTTAATTTTTAATTGTGTTATGAAATTTCATTCATTATTTTTATTCCAGTGGCGTCTCAAAGTGTGATTTTATTTAATTAATTATTCTGTTTTCATTTTCTAAAAAAATTGTAACTACTATGAAAATGACTTTAAAAACCCAGGGGCTGTGACCTTTGTTAGCAGTATTTTGTTTTTCTCCTATTGCACGGGATTTAAACCTTCGCCAATCGACAATTTGGAGAGTTTTATATCAAAATAGTCTTTATCCATACCTTATCTAGCGCGTGCTGGGTTTGCTCTCACGCGATTTACCCCTGCGGGTACAATTCGTAAGATGGTTACTAAATAATTTTGCCCGGGATCCGAACTTTTTATCTCGCATCCTGTTTACGGACGAAGCCCAATTTACCCGCGATGGGGTCGTTAACTATCATAACATCCATGTTTGGGCAATGGAAAATCCCCACGAAATTCGACCGTCGAACCACCAAGAACAGTTCAGTTTGAATATTTGGACAGGGATCGTTGGGGACTTTTTAATTGGTCCATTTATTTTTCCCAGAACTTTAAATAGTGATACTTACCTGGACTTTTTAAAAAAATATTTTACCCGGTTTATTGGAGGATGTGCCGTTGAATATTTGCCAAAACCTATATTTTATGCTCGATGGAGTCCCTCCCCATTTTTGAATAGCAAGTCCAATAGCGTGGCCACCGCGTTCCCCAGCTTGTACCCCGTTGGATTTATTTTTATGAGGCTATGTTAAAAGCCTGGTATATAATGCAGGACCAGTTCCTTCCATTGAAATCCTACAACAAAGGATATTTAATGCCTTTGAGGTAGTCAGAAACACTCCCAGAATTTTCGAGCGCATTTGGCAGTCCATGAGGCGAAGAATGGAGGATTGTATCGCCGCAGGAGGCAGCCATTTCCAGCATTTGTTATGAAAATCTGCTTTTCTATCTATTACTTAGCATAAGTTAAATTTTAAAAAGAAATTAAAGTAATCTCAATAATTGATGTGAATTTATTACTTGTTTTAATAGGGCCAGGCACAGATTTTTTCTTTGAAACACAGCTAGATGCGAGTAAAGCTCAAGAGGAAGAAAGTTACATTATTGATCGCCTAATCTAAAAAAAAATGTAATTGTCAAAAAAGCAGTGCCTTATCATAACTTTAACTAAGTGTAAGTATCAAGTAGGTAGTCCCCTGAGACGCCACTGGAATTAATCAATTTATTTTATTCTCGCTAAACGAAGACCCTTATGACGACAAATAAGCCTAGCAAATTTTATTTAAATCGGCTGAAAGGTTTTTGAGAAGTTGATGAAAAACAGATTTTTTTGACACCCTACGTCTAGAAAACGAAGCAAGTTAGGACATACGATTATATGAAATTTTTTTCTTATTTTTGGCTGGTAAATATGCCCTTAAAATCTTTGCACTCAATTTTGAATCACTCTGTATAATGCTTGGTATTCTTTATTAAGACGGTTTTCCACTAAACGGACAGTTGAGTTTATGTTTTCTGGGACTTGAAAAACAAACCTGTGACAAACCCTAAACGCTTGTTTCCATCAAGCGGACTACATTTTGTTTCAGTTTTGTTTTTGTTTTCGGTCCTTTTTCACTGGTTGTCGCGAGGAAGTCAGAACACATTTTTTCAATATTTTATTTATATTTGTAATACCTATTTATTTTTTAATATAGGTCCAATTTCAAAATATATATAAAAGTAGTTTAAAAGATGTATGTGACATCATAAAAACTTAAAAAGTACAATATTTGGACTTAACCTAGTTTGGCTTTGACATACAGATATATACTCTATTAATAAACATACTTATATAAATTTATCCAGCATTTTAAAATAAATTATTTATTAATAATTACATATATATAAAAAAAATACATTATTTACTTACCAATTTAGTTTCCAATTTGTTTCAAAATTTAGACCACAAAACACGACCGTTTCCATTAAACAGACTTGAGTTTCAAAATACGTCGAAACCTTTTGATGTTACCGCTTCCGAGTGGGACTCGAGAAACAAAACTCCAACTGTCCCAAAACACGCCAGTCTTCAAAAAGTTGCAGTTCTATTTTTTTCGACACGAGTTTCTGTTTTGTTCTTGTCTTGTCCGTTTAGTGGAAAACCGCCATTATACTCTTCACAGTTTAACAGACTCCCTTAACCCCCTATTTTTAGTTAGATTTTTAGAGCTTGATTTTCCTAAATATTTCAAGTTGATATCGTTTTTGTTTCTGAGTTAGGATTTTTTTAAAATATTTCATCCACCCTTAACCCCCCATTTTTATTCAGATTTTTTCAGATTCAATAGGCTTCATTCCTTTGTAGAGCTTGATTTTTGCTAAAAATTTCAAGTTGACTAGTCATAAATTAAGGGTACCTGACATAACTAGTGACCATTTTGCAATGTAATAAAAATAATGCTGTCCATAAAATTTAGTCAAACTATTCTTTGAAGATGCCTGTCAGATATAGAATTAAATTGTAACTATAATAGTTTAAGAAATAACTGAAAAATTATACACCATAGTTTAGAATACATTGATTGTATTTTAAAATTTAATTTTCCTGATGGAGAATATACAGAATTCATAAAAAATCCTAATTCCATTTAAAATGTTCACTCCAAGAGGGTTAAAGGGGAGGTATAAAATTCTGCTTAAAAAATGAAATTTTCAAATTAAAAATTGATGTATCTACTCATAATAGTATATTATGCAACGATCATGTAATGATGGTTATTAATACACGAGCATTAACCGGGATACGAAACGAGCCAAAGGCGAGTTTCGTATGGTTTATGCGAGTGTTTTAATAACCATTACATGAGAGTTGCATACGCTATTTTTTCTACACCCGATAAATAATCAAGACCTATAAATATTCTATTTATATTGGCATTGAACACAATAACAGTAATTACTCGTATTTCTATAAAAAATTCTACAAAATTGTAATTAATGGTATTACCTTGGGTATTGGTATTACCACAGATTTTTGGGGCAAAATATTTTGTACTGCATTTTCTCCTTTCTCCGATATGTGTGGAGGAGTCTTCTATATCGCTGATATCAGACATTTTAATATTATAATTATCGAAGTTTAGCTATCTACGAAAATTTAATACGTTTTGACAACTAAAACAATTACATAGGAATTTAGGACAAACGTCAAACATCATGCTTGATTGAAAAATTGTAGGTTTCTATTGATTAAAAATCTGTATCATAATGAAAAATCTGTATCATAATGGGTATCATTATGAAACGGATTATGGGCATATAAGTGCATTATTATAATACGGGTGTAGAAAAAATTTTTATATTAAAATGAATTTATCCGTTACTTTTAGATCGCACTGTATATGCATTTTTATTAAATAATTTAAATAAAACTGGTTCCATACATCGGAGTAGATAAACTAAAAGTGCAATAATATATTCTTGACATTATTATACATAAAAAATTGTGTAAAACATGTCTTTGCATTTATTATAATATGGTTTATACTGTGTGTATTGCTTGTTATAGAGTTTATTTTGCTTATCGTTTCAAAATATTGGCATTGCTTAAACAAATATTGATTGATAATAATCATAAACCGTTTTTTTTTTGTGATAAAATATTTGCAGTACATTAATTAGGTTCATATAAAAAAAGATGCAGCACAAATAAAAAATGTAATATATTTAACTCGTATAATTATTATAACTTGTGATATTTAGATGTTTAACGACAACAAACGAATATGTTTTTGGAGTTTATGCCTCAAAATCTATTATGTCATGAAAAAAATTACACTTAAATTTTTACCGTTTTTGCTAGAAATTTTTTATATATTTTTTAAAGACTAATTTCTAAGCTGTCTTTTGAGTAGCTCAACAAAAACATAGTGATTTGAAATATATTCAATGAGACCTACAAAATGGTTTTACATGATATCGTGCAGGTGAATTAGTACGCCCATGTATAACGTTAGGGTAGAAATATTGTTTGATTCAAACGCAGAACATGTCGACTTTTATTTCTAAAATGGCAGTAAAGTATTTAAACACTTCTGAAGTGAGAGGAGCACCTAAACTTTTTAAATGCTCTTTTTAGAAAAAAATTACTTTTTTTAGGGGCAAGCGATGATGGCGCCAGCTGTGCAGTGATGCTGGAAATTTTGAGAGTACTATCGAAATCGAAAAAAATCTTGAGGCACAATATCATTTTTTTGTTTAACGGTGGCGAGGAAAATTTTTTACCTGCTTCGCACGGTTTCATCACCCAACATAAATGGGCTAAAGAGGTAAAAAATAATGTAGAATTTTCTAATAACAAAAAACTTTTTGAGAAAATCGGGAAAGAAGAGTACACGCTATTTTAAATTCAACCAAGGTTATATCTTGAAAACTAATTAATTCATTATTTTAAAAAGATTAGGCAGCCAACTCGTGGAGAAATAGGCTTTAGTGAAATTTCTTGAACAATTTTCAGAAAGTCGACAACTTCAAAAGTCAAAAAATTCAGGAAACTTCGCCATTTCTCCATAAGCCGGGTGTTTGGTCCATTTGAGTATTAATTCGAGAGAAAAATTCTAATTGAGTGATATAGAAATCCAGATTCGCTGAAAAAGCTACAGCAGGATTTTTTAATTGGGACAACATACATTTTTGCAAATTTTAGTTCTGCAACTTTTTCCATTTTCCCCCAGATCTGGGGAAATTTGTAGAGTAGATCTGGCAACTCCGCGTCTCATAGCAGAATATGAGCAATAAATATTCTTATTAATAATAATTAATGATAAATATTATTATTAATATTATTAACATCAACGCTTTATTTGGCGGTTACATGGAACAGTGAATTCGTTTATCAATGTCAGATTTGAAAAATTATGAGCGCAGCGAAATATATCCAAAAATTTTACAAATCAACATGAATTATTTAGAACAATATTGATAACATCCATTTTATTTGAAAAATAATGGTCATTAAGAAAAATGTTGTACTTCCTGCTTCCTGCTAAAAAGATAATGGCTTTTAATTTCAAAGAAACGCCAATTAAATCATAAATAAATCATTATATCATTTGTTTCGAAACACTTTTATATGTTCACCGTACCTCGGAATCATTGAATCCAACGAACCATTTAATAATAATCATAGATTCTAATAAAACAAGTTGTCAAAGCAGAGGTCATTAATAATACCAATTTTCTGGCTAATTATCAGTCGTACTAACTATTAAATCGCGCGATGAAGTGTTGCCAAATCTACTCTACAAATTTCCCCACATCTGGGGAAAAAACGAAAAAGTGGCGTACAAACACGTGCGTTATCGTATTTTAGATAAGGGCCTTCATAAATTTGGAAGCATGCGGCGCGGGGGGTCGGGAGGTGCTGTTTCAAGCGGGGCCGAACCACCCCTGGATCTTGGAAACGTATTCCGAAGAAGTACCGTATCCGTACGCTTCTTCGTTGGCGCAAGAGATTTTCCAGAGCGGGATGATACCGGGCGATACGGATTATAGGATTTTCAGAGATTTCGGAAACCTGTCTGGTAAGTGATTTTTTTTTAATTATCTAGCCATAATATTTGAAACTTACTTCAACATAGAAGGACAATAATATATATTTTTTTATTTTTCCTTGGTATATATCAGAAAAATTGTTTTTTTCTGACTTGTAAATTAGAAAATTTGATTTTTTCTAAATAAAACTCAGAAAAGTGTATTTTTTCTAACTTTTTACTTAGAATAATAGATTATTTCGACTAAAGGTACGTTTAGATCTGACATTTATTGCATGAGATTTATGTCTGACAGTTGTTTAATCCAGTGTAAACATTCAAAAATATATCTCTGAAAGAAATTTTTGTGTGTTTGTTTACACTGGACTAAACAACTGTCAGACATAAATATCATGCAATAAATGTCAGATGTAAACGTACCTTTAGACCTCATTTCTACACTCACATAACTATGGCAAGAAAATCAGAAATAGATTTTTATTAAGTTGAAAATATAGAGAAAAAGAGCGGTCAAATTAATGTCAAACTGTTTATTAGTGTTCCAGTTAATCTTAACAGTAAGCCAAAGTCTCGGCTATTTTGTAACAGACGAATTATTTGTCTGTTAAATAAATAACTTGGGGTTAAAAAATTGTTGACTCAAGATTGACACATAAAATAAAATTATTATATTTAATATATTAACAATTTATAGTTTATTATTTTATTGTTTTAAAAAGTGATAATTAAATGATTCGATTTGATGGGTGATGACGATTTGCTGAAATTAGCTGATGATTCGCATTGCTCTATTTTGTAGCTTTGTATTTTGAATCATTTTGATTTTAAAGATAGATAATTGTTGAAAAATAATTAAGATGGGGAAAAATAAAAGTATTATAAAAAGCTTTCCCGCCCAGACATAGTACAACCGCCCCTCCCCTGCATCCAACTACAAAGATCGGGCCACTTTTTGTAGTCAGATGAGGGATTATAAACCGTTAGTGTCTTTTTTTTAGGTTTGGATTTCGCTTGGTCGGCCAACGGTTATGTATACCACACTAAGTACGACTCGGTCGATCAGGTACCGCTCGGATCGCTGCAGAGAACCGGAGACAACATCTTGGCGCTGGCCAAAGGGATGGCCCAAGGGCACCAGCTGTCCAACATCGAAAAGTACAAGCCCGGGAATTTGGTGTTTTTCGATTTTTTGGGCGCTTTCGTCGTGAGATGGCCTATGATGATCGCCGATATCGTCAACATATCGTCTGTGATATTTTCTTTGTATAGTATTTACGTGAATGGTCGAGCAGCCAAAGCTACAGACAGTAAGTTTTTTATGATAAAAATGTCTCACATTTATAGGCTGTTGATTATGTCATATAGAAAGGGTTTTTATTATAAATGATAAAACTGTGGAGTGCTATTGAATTAGAGGGTGGAAATTGGAGATAGGGATGAAGATGCAACCCTTAAAGTTTTTAAATTATATTTCGAAAATGAAGCAAAATTAAGGTATAGTTATTAGGATTTTTTTGTAGAAACTGCGTAATTTTTTTTAATATCTCTCTTTTGGGGATGGACAAACATTTTTGTTGGACTATCGTGGGCAAATCGTGGACAAGCGTAAATAAATGTAGACAAATCATGAACAAATCGTAGACAAATGAATTGATACTATTTTTTATAAAAATTCACAGAGTTGTGCTTCAATTTTCTAAACAACTTCCCAACATCTTTATGAAAGTTGTTAAAACACATAACTTTAAGTTGGAAATTCAGCATATTCTTCCTGATTTCTGATTTCCTCAACTCTCCAAACAACCATAGTGATTCAATTTACTAAGTACATTCATCAATATTTTCCATCCAAAGATCAATTAGCCCCTTTATCATCCAGTGGAATTCTTGTAAATGTTTATATTGGAGAAACACGCCGAATAGTTCAAATAAGAATTAAGGAACATCAATGGTGCATACGATCTGAATTGATCCATTCATCATCTTGAATTCTACAATTTTATGGTTCCAAGATTGATCTTAAAAATGAGAAAACATTATTTTCAGATTTGACCAAGAAACATTACGCCAAAAAGCTGTTAGGCTGCATGCTGGTTGTGTTCCTAACGTGGGTGATGTCCATAATATCTACGCTCGGCATAGCTGGGCTGATTACCTGTTTAGGACGTACAATGAGCTGGTATGCTCGCCCATTGTGGATATTCTTCTTGTATGTGATACCGACTCTAGTCATATCCATGGCCACGGTGATGCTGCACTCTAAATTATATAATAAGGTTCGTATAGGTTTCTTTATGGGTACATTCATGAGGTTTTGAAAATCGGATACGGTTCCTTATGAAAAAAAAAAAAAAAAAAAAGCGTTCGTTCAATAAGAATGTTTTATAATAGTAATTACCATGATTTTATTATTTCAGATCGTTGAAAGAATGGTTAAAGTGTTAGAATTATATTTATGAGTATAGTTGAAAGGTATTTAGATATAATTTTGCTATTTTAGGAACTGGAAACATCGCCTTGGACGATATTTCAATTATATTACGATGCATATCAGTTAATCTGGACTGTAGTACTGATTTTTGGTGTAGCCCTACGACTGAGGTCCAGTTTTATTGCTTTATTGTGGGTGTTTTCGGCTGCATTAGGAAACTTTTTAAAATCGGTTTTATTTTCCAAATGGAGAGGTAAGGAAAGCATTTTAATCAAAATATACCTAATATTTATACATATAATCATCAAAAAACTACTTTGCTTATGTAAATATTTGATACATGCATATTTTTTGTGGTAATCTACGTACCAAGTTTGAAAATACGTAAGGGCACAAGAAACATTAAATAAAAATAAATAATAACTTACCATTTTGTAATAAACTTGTTACTAATATAGAAAAACCACTTTTTAAAACCAGTTTTAGTCAATTTTTAAGAATCCATTAGATATAAAGTTTTAACAAGCACGAAACATCCGAATAAGTAATTTTGGGTCCATCCTACTATCCGGAGGTGCGAATTTCACAAAAAAAATTTAAACACTCAAAAGGCACTAGTTTCTATAGTACATTTTTGTAAAAAAAAATTACGGATGAACGAGCATTTTTCGAAAAAAAATAATCAAAAAAACTCAATTTTACAGGTTATATTCTAAGTGACAGATTGTCTTAAAAATAACAACGTTGCCAAGTTGTTCATGAAATTATAAGTTTCAGGATTATTTTATAATCTATAAATTGCCAGATTATAAAATATTGAAGTGATCAAAAATCATATATTTATGGTTTACTTACGATAATAATCGTACATAAAATGTCAAAATTAAATTTCTGTAAATATTGGGAAGACGCCCTTTTCTTAAAATAGCTATTTGTGTATTAAAAGCCGCTTGAAACAGAAAGAGGCAACGACAATATTTTTTCTACGATCACAATTTAAGAAATATATATAAAAACTGAAAATTTTTCGTAAGTAGTGTTGCCTACATTCATCATGAAAATAGCAGTTGATATTCAAAGACAATGTTAACTTGGATAATGTAACAAAAAAACATGTAACTTATGTACAAATAACTCGAAAATCATTTATTAAAAAGATATATCAATATATTTACCTAATTTAAATTAGGCGAGCAACAAATCTGTCAATTTTGTCGCTCGACGAGCGACAAATCTGTCACTTGATGTCATTTCGCGGAAAACGTCAACTTTGCGGTTGAATTTCGAAGCGCAAAAGCCTACTTTTGATAGTGATCGTAGAAAAATCCAATTTTTTTACAAAACTTACATTTTGGGCTTTGGAAAGAGAGTACTATTTAAATATACCACTGGAAACTCCATAAATTAACGGTTTTCAAAAAAATTATATATTAAGGGCTTATGAGGATCATTAAAAGATCATTTATGTAAACTTATTCATTAGAATTATATTTGTTATGTTCCGTTAATACAATTGAGCGATTTTTCCACCTGTTCAATTAAAATCAACGAAAAAGAAATAAAAAAAAGGAACTACCTTATTTTTTTACATAATATTTCCAAACACTTTTAAAAGCAATACTTCTATTAATTTATTTCCAGCCACATCCGATTATTTTGATTAAATTGTTGTAGTACATAATAATTGAATATTAATATTACATCATACATACAAGTAATAATCAATGTGCTTTTCGAAAACTTTTAAACACAATTACTTTGTGTTATCCAAAAGTTTTTGAAACAAGGGAATTTATTTGTTTGACAAATGACGCCAGCCAGCCAAATTTAAGGACTTATCAACTAAAGATGATAGCTTGAATTAGTTCAATTTATTCTTGGTTTTTTAAATTACGACGTTTAACATTTTTTATTTTTAAAATAAAAAGCATTTCAGATATTCAAAAGATCATTTTGACCTAGAAAGATAATTGCATCTGAAAATTATAGGCGTAAATAAATAGGTAAGTAGTAGGCAGTATGCCTATTGTTAGAACCTCTATAAAATGCCTAACTAATATTTAATATTTTAAGTTGGTACTGTACAATGATATATGACAGTTGACATTTTTATTATTCATTGTTCTGTGTGAAGCCCACTGTGTTGCTATTACAATAAAAGTATTTCTAAAATAAATCCTGATTTATTTAAATAATCCTGAGTGGATATTTAATCTATGTGACTTTATTATCAACCCTCGGCCAAGTTTATTACACTATGTTATCTAAACACCATAAGAGCACAGTTCGCTAATTCACTCACATACTAACCACTACAGATGAGAGTGAGCGAATCGAACGCGCCCTTTGTATACATACACTATAAAAACAGTACGCTAACCCACATACTTACTAATCACTACAGAAAGGAACGAGCGAAGCGAGCGCGCCCGGTCGATGTTTCGAAATTCGCGCGAATTTCGAAAGGTCGGCCGGGCGCGACGTTTTTACATTAACACCATATGAGCACAGTGCGCTAACCCAACCACTTACTAAACACCATAGAAAAGAGCTAGTGAAGCGAGCGCGCCCGACCGACGTTTCGAAATTCGCGCGCGCGAATTTCGAAACATCGGCCGGGCGCGTCCTTTTTACCCCTACGCCATAAGAGCGCACTACACTCGTTCCACGTGCATCGTCCCACAAGTATAGGAAAGAGCAAGCCTTGGAGCTAGCGAAGCAAAGGCACCCTTTCTACATCTCTCAGAGCTTCACTCATTAAGTTTTTTCATTCGCTGTTAGTGCAGTGTGCACTAGTGTCTATTACACTACCTTATTTACTTAGTTTACTTTCTCTTATTTCTTATAAACATGTCGAGTGTAATTCACTCCTGCTAAATAGCTGGTGGAGGAAATATCCACCAGTGGACACCACATCGCCGACAGGAAGGTGTAGTGGATTTTCTACCGGGCCAAACGAAAGGTATAGTGTTCGTTGGTGTAGTTCATTCCTACACCAGTAGGACGAACGAAAGAACCTATTGTCTTGTGCAGTAGTTAGGAGATGAGTGGGACAAACCGACAACATAAGTGTACCAATGAGCTAAACCACTTCTGAAAATATCGTTCCATCCATACAATTTGTATAAATGGAACGATATTTTCAGAAGTGGTGTAGAGGTCAGTGCTACACTTTCGATGCAAAGAAAAAGACCTATAGTATTCGTAGTATGATGCTCTTATGGTGTAGATGGAAAACGAGCGCGCATTCATCAACTATGTTAGTAATTCTTTTCCGTTTTTTATAAACGTCCACAACATACAACACAATTATTGCTATTAAATACAAACTTGGACATTACACACAGTGATTTTAAATTCAACAACGTGGCAACGTTGCAAAGACATCCATAAATTATTTTGTTTTATGTTTTGTGGAAGGAAATAATGATAAAAGTTAGGTTAAATGGTCAAAATATTGTATTTAATTATAATCTAAATGAAAATATCGAACACAAAATAATTTTCTATACTTAATTTTACTTAAAATATTATAAAAAGTTAGTTACTTCAATTAACTAGTGCCAAAATTTCGAAATTCGCACTTCCGGATAGTAGGATGAAACAGTAATTTTATATTTCTGCTGACTTTATAAACGTTATTTCACCGTTATTGATCATATTTTAATTATTTTAATGCATTATTTTACTTCAATTTAAGCAAAGTTCATAAAAAAGCAACAGAATTTGAAAATTTCAATACGCGAAAATGGGACGAAGAGAAGATTCTTTTATACGTTTCGAAATAAAAGTTATTTTCACATCAAACCTAATTCTTAAGTTCACAACTTCTTTCATTCACGTCAAATTTACATAATTATAAAGAGTTTTTCACTATATTTGTTAAATGTTATGAGTTAGAAACAAGCCGAAACCCGTAACGAACTTAAATTTTCATAGAACGAAAAAAAAAAGACTACAGCATATTCTTCTTTTTCTTTAATAAATTTGTCTTTTTCTAAACGGACACAAAGCTAGGTGCGTTCCGAAATAACATTTGGACGAATTTTATTTAATTAATTATTATGTGAGAAAGTAATATACAATTTTCTTTTTTAGATGCAAAATGGCTGCTCCTTCACATATCCGTCTTCGGACTACCGTTCGTGCAATGCTTCTATTTAAGCGTAGGAGCTATGTACCTGTTTATTCCGATAATGGGTAGAGCAGGAGCCGGCAGTCATGCAGAATTGGTGATTTCGGTGTTAGTAACGTCAATATTCGCTACATTGTTTAGTTTCGTAGCGCCATTAGGACTATTAGTACGAGGAATAGAGAGAATTTTCAGTCTATTGACGGGTCTGTTCTTTTTATCGCTGGCGTTGTTGATATTGACGCCGATGGGATTCCCGTATTCTGGAGAGCCTGGTGCTTTGGCGCCACAGAGATTTATGATTGCTGTAAGTGAATGGTACATATAGTGCTGGCGAGATCGAATCTTCGATGCCACTTTGCTTGTGTTTGAGTGAATACGCTAATTTAGTGATGATGTAATTTTGGTTCCACTGACAAAGTGACAGTAGACTTTTTGAATGCGTTTTGTTCGTATTGTTTACCAAAACTATTTAGTTTTTTTGGCTTTAATAAATATATTCCTAGAGTAAGTAGATAACATGTATCAAATATACAATCATTTAGTTGCCAATTACATACCTTTATACTATTTTTTATGATCTGCAAACAATATTTAAACACTAAAAACCATTAAAACGTATATTTCAAATTTAATGATGTTTTTGTTTGGTTAGAAGTTGTCAGTGGAATCAAAATTGCGAGTAAAGGAGTAGCAACAGTTCAAGAACAAGCCCCATGTTAAATCCCATGAAGAATTGCTAAGGTTTATTCTGCCAATTTTTGTCGTTTTCAAGGTCACGAGTCGAAGTTCTTCAATTTCAATTTTTGTAGGCCTCAGCTGCCAGGGCTATTCGGCCTAGGGTAATTGTAATGGAGTTTTTTATATAAAAGGTGGATATTTTAAAGGAAATTTCTTTTTTTGTCACAAGATGCACATCACACCATGTGACAATTTATAATCTTCAGATTTAAAAAAATTTGACGCAGTATTCTTGCTACTAAATAACTAATCACATCAGACAATATTCACTTCTCGATGACTATTTTTGTTGAAGATTTTTACGGAGACATTCACACTTGACTCCCGATTTTGACACCGCCATTTCAGTGTTGATACCACGGTGTCAGAATCGGAAGTGAGTCGAAGTTCGAATAATGACAGCTGTCAATTGTCATGTCATCTCTCAACAGTGTTCCTAACCTAACATCTGTCAGCTATCAATCCAGAGTTGCAAACCTAACCTAAGAATTGATAGCTACGAAGTTGCCTAACCTTACCTTACATGTCTAACGCCATTTTTTATCCTGAGTTGTCTACCGTTGGCTAACCTAGCAACAGCGTTGTCAACCTAACCTGACATCTGCTACCTCAGGATGGCGACAAGGGGGTGGGGGAGTGAAGACGCCACGCCACCTGTCAGTGGTGCGACTCGGCTTGCGACACAGCTAAGCGATCCAAGATGGCGGCTATCGTATTCGAAATCCTGCGCAGTGGCCTGCGCCTGATTCAAAAGGGAAAATGTCGTTGTGAAGAAGACGGGGACGTTGAAGAGAGTGCAGCAGCAAAGCCAAAAAGGCAATAGAGTTGCCAACCTAACAATCATAAATGTCAAGGAACAACTGTCATCTAACCTAACATTACGTTCAACAGTAACATTACGTAGGACAAGGAGGAGAAAGAGGAGACGGTGGAGCAGGAGTAGAAAGAGGTGAAGGAGGGGAAGGAGGAGAAAGGAGAAGGAGTAGAAAGAGAAGAAGGGGGAGAGTGAACCATATGCAACACACAAATATCCTACTAGTGTATTATGTGTGAAATCTTAGGAAAAATCTCAGAAACTCGAGAAAAATCTATGCGCCGGTAACGCAAATCTATAGAAAATCAAAGAAAAGCACAGAGTCATAGAAAATCAAAGAAAAGCACAGAAAGTCATAGAAAATCATAGAAAATCATAGGAAATCATAGGAAATCATAGAAAATCATAGAAAATCATAGAAAATCATAGAAAATCATAGAAAATCATAGAAAATCATAGAAAATCATAGAAAATCATAGAAAATCATAGAAAATCATAGAAAATCATAGAAAATCATAGAAAATCATAGAAAATCATAGAAAATCATAGAAAATCATAGAAAATCATAGAAAATCATAGAAAATCATAGAAAATCATAGAAAATCATAGAAAATCATAGAAAATCATAGAAAATCATAGAAAATCATAGAAAATCATAGAAAATCATAGAAAATCATAGAAAATCATAGAAAATCATAGAAAATCATAGAAAATCATAGAAAATCATAGAAAATCATAGAAAATCATAGAAAATCATAGAAAATCATAGAAAATCATAGAAATATAGAAAATCATAGAAAATCATTGAAATCATAGAAAATCATAGGAAAATCATAGAAAATCATAGAAAATCAATAGAAAATCATAGAAAATTCATAGAAAATCATAGAAAATCATAGAAAATCATAGAAAATCATAGAAAATCATAGAAAATCATAGAAAATCATAGAAAATCATAGAAAATCATAGAAAATCATAGAAAATCATAGAAAATCATAGAAAATCATAGAAAATCATAGAAAATCATAGAAAATCATAGAAAATCATAGTAAATCATAGAAAATCATAGAAAATCATAGAAAATCATAGAAAATCATAGAAAATCATAGAAAATCATAGAAAATCATAGAAAATCATAGAAAATCATAGAAAATCATAGAAAATCATAGAAAATCATAGAAAATCATAGAAAATCATAGAAAATCATAGAAAATCATAGAAAATCATAGAAAATCATAGAAAATCATAGAAAATCATAGAAAATCATAGAAAATCATAGAAAATCATAGAAAATCATAGAAAATCATAGAAAATCATAGAAAATCATAGAAAATCATAGAAAATCATAGAAAATCATAGAAAATCATAGAAAATCATAGAAAATCATAGAAAATCATAGAAAATCATAGAAAATCATAGAAAATCATAGAAAATCATAGAAAATCATAGAAAATCATAGAAAATCATAGAAAATCATAGAAAATCATAGAAAATCATAGAAAATCATAGAAAATCATAGAAAATCATAGAAAATCATAGAAAATCATAGAAAATCATAGAAAATCATAGAAAATCATAGAAAATCATAGAAAATCATAGAAAATCATAGAAAATCATAGAAAATCATAGAAAATCATAGAAAATCATAGAAAATCATAGAAAATCATAGAAAATCATAGAAATCATAGAAAATCATAGAAAATCATAGAAAATCATAGAAAATCATAGAAAATCATAGAAAATCATAGAAAATCATAGAAAATCATAGAAAATCATAGAAAATCATAGAAAATCATAGAAAATCATAGAAAATCATAGAAAATCATAGAAAATCATAGAAAATCATAGAAAATCATAGAAAATCATAGAAAATCATAGAAAATCATAGAAAATCATAGAAAATCATAGAAAATCATAGAAAATCATAGAAAATCATAGAAAATCATAGAAAATCATAGAAAATCATAGAAAATCATAGAAAATCATTGAAAATCATTGAAAATCATTGAAAATCATTGAAAATCATTGAAAATCATTGAAAATCATTGAAAATCATTGAAAATCATTGAAAATCATTGAAAATCATTGAAAATCATTGAAAATCATTGAAAATCATTGAAAATCATTGAAAATCATTGAAAATCATTGAAAATCATTGAAAATCATTGAAAATCATTGAAAATCATTGAAAATCATTGAAAATCATTGAAAATCATTGAAAATCATTGAAAATAATTGAAAATCGTTGAAAATCATTGAAAATCATTGAAAATCATTGAAAAAGCAGTGAGATGACAGTTCATTGTTGCGCGTGCTTTCTTGATTTTTAAAACGTAGATATTATGAAAACTGATACAGAAAATTTGTCAACCTATAGTTTGGTGTTTTCTGACGAGTTTCAGCATCAGCCAATAATTTTAAGGTTATGTTCTGACAGTTCTGTGACAGACAGACTAAACGGTTAACGGAGCGTTCAGCCAATTTCCATCTGCTGCCGGATGTTAATGCCCAGCCGTTTAGCGCTTAAAGTTAACTGCTGACGTCTGGTGAAGGCACCCAATGACATGAATATTTGAACTTACCAGCACTGCATAAACTGTCAATTAGTATTTAATTCAGTTTTTTGCTACATAAATATATTTCTGAATTTATCCTCAGCATACGCATAGAACATTCCACGACATCTCGGGCAACATACAAAGGGAATCCTCCGGTTACTGGATCGCAGACATGGACGTTAACAGTCCACATACAGTCGACAGATACGTACCCGACATGAAAAACGCTCAACTAGTCACCAAAGAAGACTGCGAAGATAACCTGTATTGCGGGTTGCCATATTTAGTACCAGTTCTCACGATGATTTGGAAGACGCATTGGTTGCCCGGTCCGAGGCCTACTCTGATGACCCCAGTAACGATGAATGTGTTGAATCGAACGAAAATTAACGGCGGAGAGAGACTTGATTTTAGAATTGAAGGTTATAATATGGTAACCTATTTTCTATTGTATCGTAATTTTATGGAATTTTACTTTTTAGGTCCAAGTCACATGGGAGTACTGATTTCTCCTGTCATCGGTGTCGAATTTGATAACTGGAGTTTACCGACGGATGGACCATTAGCCGGGCCTGTATGGAACGGTCGAAATACCTATTTCGTTTATTATGCTTATGGATTAGAACCTAAACCTTTCGTTTTTTCGATAGATTTTAAGGTAAGTACCATAATTTTCGTCATACGTTATGTTGCTTCTGCCATTTATCAAGTTTCATTTGTCACATGAACGTTTAATCTATCATATGTAACGTTTTAAGTCATATGTCACTTTTAATTTGTAATATGTCATGTTTCATCTGTCAAATGTCATGTTTCATCTGTCAAATGTCATGTTTCATCTGTCAAATGTCATGTTTCATCTGTCAAATGTCATGTTTCATCTGTCAAATGTCATGTTTCATCTGTCAAATGTCATGTTTCATCTGTCAAATGTCATGTTTCATCTGTCAAATGTCATGTTTAATTTGTCATTTGTCGTTTATATTCGTTTTAGGATATCTACGACCATCTGTTTGATTTATTAATTAATTTCAGGTACCTAAAAACCACAAGGGGCCTATAATAGACTTGGCTGTAAACTCTCATTACCTCTTCGGCCCCGGTAAGGTGACGAAAGAATTGAAACAGTTGGTAAACCAATTTCCATCGTGGACAGCAGTGACGCATTGGACGGCGTCGTATGACTCGTGGAAAATTTAAGGTCAACTAGTGACTCGGTAGGCGATTTTGGTTAAAGGAGCGATGACTGATGCGTTTTGTATACTTACACAATGTTTTTCGTGGTGATAATGTACAGGGTTGGATTAATCCGACCGTTTCGAAAATACGTTGATTTTTCAACGAATTGACAAAAATGTCAAAAATTTTCGCACACGTTATCGACATTTTTGAAAATTTATGAAAATATATTTATCTGTTATAAGTTTTTCTTTTACTGAGCCCTTGTAGGGTTAATAATTTTTAGTCCATCACTGCTAAAATGGTAAAGAAGAATTTTTAATTTAATTTTAATTTAGATCCTATTTTTAGGATGTAATTATACGGTTAAAAGTTGTCCCAGATAGCTTCGCTAATAATGAATTGTTATTATTACATGAATATTATGATTAATACGTGAATATTCCGCTTATTACATGAATATGCTGTTTTTTTTTTCATAACTATTCTCATTACATAAATAAATATTGTGAATTTTACATTATTATTATTATTAGTACATGAATTTTATGATTATTACAAAAAAAATATTTGGATTATTCCATGAATACGCTATGAATATTTTGACAATTTATTTGTAGAAAATAATGTAGAACTTATTCATCTAAATTTATTCTAATTTTACACGGTTACATTATTATATGAATATTTTGATTATTACATGAATACGCGATGAATATTTGGACAATTTATTTGTAGAAAATAATATAGAACAGTTTTGTAAGACTTACAACTTATTCATCTAAATTTATTTTAATTTTACATTAATACTCTCATTATTATTACATGAATTTTATGATAATTACAAGAATATTATGATTATTACCTTAATATTTTGATTATTACATGAATATTTTGATTATTACATGAATATTTTGATTATTACATGAATATTTCGATTATTACATGAATATTTTGATTATTACATAAATATTTTGAATATTACGTGAATATTTTGATTATTACACGAATATGTTTCATTCCATGAATATGGTATGCATATGTGGATAATTTATTCGTAAAAAGTAATTGTAGAACAGTTTTGAAATTTGAGAAATTTGTTTAAAATAGTTGGAGCTATCTGAGACAATAAATAGCTTATGCCTACATAAAAGTAAATAATCTAAGACAACTTTCGTGTCATATCAAATAAAAAAAAATTATTCCGTCTAATAAATTACATTTAAAACTTTTTATAATATAAATTAAAGAAATTCGATGAGTGAGACGCTTGTATATCTATTAGACTGTAGGAAAACAAATAATTTATAAAACATTTTTAATATATTTACCAATCTTAAAGTTTTACCGCAGTTGCATGCGTAGAGAACATTTTAGACTTTCTCGAATTTTTCCAAAATTGCTAGTAACGAGGTATAGTTTGAAATAAACAGTAGAAGCGATAATTCGAGTATGTGATATTTTATTAAAAAAAATATATCGGATGCCTATGGTATAAAAAGTCTTATTACTTATTACTCTGATCAGAAGAAAGGTCGTTTGAGCCTAATATACTCTTTATCAAAATATAAAATATTGAACCCAAAACCTAATAAAATTTCATAGAAAATAAACATTTTTGTGGCTAATACTCTAGTAAATGTTAGAATTAAACACAGATCAGCAATACCAGCATGGTAAAATTTTGTTAAAGCGCGTTTTAGAAAAAATACGTTAGGAAGATCATTACGAAATTATTTTTTTAAAGGATACTTTAAGGCAGGCCTGCACAACTGAGATTTTCAAAGTTCAAAAAACCGTAGGTGTACGAGGTCCAAGAACGGATGTAGGCGAAGGGATGTATAGTTTGACGTAGGCGGGCCAAATTGGTAAAGGGACAATGGACCAAGAAAACGACAATGGCAAGCGGGCCGTATGTTGTGCAGGCCTGCTTTAAGGTGAACTTTAAATAGAAGCTTTTTTTTGTTTAAATCCATCTTTAGGGTTCGATTATGAAATTGGCCCATCTAAGTTTGGCTTTTATTTTACAGCTTTTGTGATCCTTTAACACATTAACCGCAATGTCACTCATACATGACTCAAAAAGATTTTTACATATATGAGTGACGGGTAGACTTTTATATCGAATCGTGTCGGTTAAATTTACATGAAAGTTTGTAGCTAATATTTTAGCCCCTGAAGAATAATTAAAGTTCTAAAAAATAAATATTGAATTTTTCATATCAAATAACTGGTAACAAAACTGAACTAATTTAAAAAGTTATAAATACAAAAATTAAGCTTGAATGTTTCTAAAACAGTCAAAATACATAAATGGCTAATTAGGATATTCAGGACAATATGTTATTACCTTTTTCTACTTTAGTTACGATTTTAGATCTTTCACTACTAGTTGCTAAGTCCTTATAACATGATTTGCAAATTAAACTAACTTTTTTGAATCGCCATCAATTATAGCGGACAATGCATGACTTTATATTTGCTGTTAGTACTGTCGCTCATACATTTGACTGAACTGGCCTCTTTCGAAATAAGTTACATGAAGAGGCCACGTCGATTACTAGATAGTGACAGGTAATTGACTTGTTATGTTGGGAATGGGGCATTAACACTGTTGCCTAAAATATCTTTTATGCCCCTTTCTGTCGCTAATGCAGCAAGGATATGTCTTGCTGCCAATCTTATCTTCTCTTTATGATTTGGAGTAGCTTCAAGTTAGGTAGATCTCTTCTATTTGATGTGCTCCTAGGTGGATTGAGTCAGAATGTGAATTAAGATTTCGTCTTGTTCCTCACAGAATCTGTACTCACTATCTTCTACTACTTACAGTTTACTAAGGTGTCCTTTGAGTCGGTAATGACCAGTAAGGATGCCTTTTATAATGCGTAGCTTGTTCTTGCTCAGGCACATACAGGCTTCCGATCTTTTCTGGTTATATTCACCCAGAAATATCTTAGCATGTCTTAGCCTCAAGAGTGTGTTCCAATTCTTTTTTAATTTCTCCTAATATTGTATTACTGCTGATACCGCTCAGGTCCTACAAAGGATGTTTGAGCCCTTTCCCTTCTGAGACTATCTTCTATCTCGTTACCCTTTATCCCGTTATGTCCTGGGATAAAAGTGAATCGGTCATTTGAGAAAGCCCATAAGTCACAAATTTGACATTCCAAAAATGGCGGTTTCTTATTGTTAACACGAGCTAATACAATCAGCTGTCGCATATTGACCGAAAGATAAGGCTTCTAACGGTGTTTTCGCTCCAATAAACAAACTAAGAACGACATACGGACCTTGGGAAATTGTGAACTATATTAAATTATCTTGAAAATACCTGTGAGATCCGTAGGGATGGAAAGATTAGTGCTTGGGTGAACACATCATTTTATTTTAAAACACTTCTGAAACGATGTCAATTTTATTACATGGTTACTTACAAACTACATACTTTTTGTACTATATACAGACTTTTCTTCGGAAATTTGTTACTTAAGTACTCAAGCCACTTTTACACCGCAGAAAGATGTTTTGTGTTTGAGTGGTACTGAATCTCTGCCAGGAGAGAAGTTGCTCAACTAGATTGAGTGTGACGCTCGACGTTGACCAATTAGGAAGTGCCTAACGCCGGTGATTTTAACCAATGAGGGCGATTGCCGGGTATGGATGACAAATGAGAAGTGGGCAAGAAGTGGAATGATGCCTGTGACGTAGCTATTAGATGGGAGACCGATTCAAGTGAGAATAACTGTATTTTTCTCGCCAGGCACATCCAGACCATTTTTAAGTTGAATACGTAAGAGCTTAGCGCTTTGATGGCTGCTTGGCTATCGCACATGATGATACTGGGTGCGTTCAGCCGACGCAACAGTTAAGTATGGTGACTTGTTGGGTCTTCTGAACGTCACTTATTGAGTTTTGGCAGTTTCAACCGTTGCTCAACATCTGCAACAGGAAAATTCTATGGTGACTTTTGTAAACGAAGTATTGTACTCAGTGTTGTAAATTAAAGGAATATTTAATTTAGAGATTTCTAGTGTTTTTTTTTTATTGATTTTTAACCACTCTCGGATGATAAAGCTGATTATTTGTGATTATAACCTCACATTTCTTAACTTTGAACATGAATTTTGTTGTTTTTCAAATTCTAAAGTTAAACCATGATGAAAATTGTCCGTTATGACTGATTATGACTTAGTATATTTTTACATGATCTTAATTTGTAACCGAAAATGAATTTATTTATATCACCTCTAGAGATCACCACGTGTATGTGTATTTTCTAACTGCTGAACCAACTTATACCGTTCAAGTACTTTTAATTGTTGACTTCCACCATATCAGAAACATGTTCTCGGTTTTTAATCAACTGTGTTGCGTAGGCTGAACGCGCCCAATCTATTGTCTACGATAATTTCAGAGTGCCTAGTTCTAGGCCCATACACTTCTATTCCAGTTCCTTCTATGGTTTTGGAACCACCCATATACCATTGAATAGTATGTTTTTCGGTTGCATGCACGATGGATTCTTGGCTTCATTCTTTCTTGCAGCCTAGCTCTGTGGTTTTGAGGTTTTCAAAAAATTATACTTCTTTCTCATTTCATCTTGGGCATATTCCAAATATCTTCGGTCCTGAAGCTAATAGGATTACTTCCATTGCGGCCTTAGAACAGGTTTTCATTGCACCGGTGATGCAAGCATAGGCTAATCTTTGTATTTTTGAGATATTAGCTCTCGTAGTAGCTAAACTGGTCTGTTCCTGTCATCCAAGGTTAGTCCTAGATATTTGACTTCTTTTTTTCCATTCTATATCTATCCTGTCAAATTTGACTGTTTTGAAATTGAGTTTTCTTTTCCGTAAAAAGGCTACTAGTGTAATTTCGTGTGGCTTATAGTAAGTCCCACCTCACGGCACCATCTTTTGGTGTGTTCTAGTTCTCTTTGGACTATATCACATAGGATATTTCCAAACTTGCCTCCAGCAAATATGACTATGTCTTCGACATAATCTTGACAGGGTATGCCGGCGTTAGTCAATCTGCATAGAAGTTTGTCTACGGTTAGACTCCACATTAGTGGAGACAACTCCTCCTTGTGGACATCCTCTAATTGTGCAGATGGATGTGGTGTCCTGCCCTAGTTCTGTCTCTCCATTTGGATGTGGTGCTCTTTTGACAGATTCGTGTGGTGTGTTATTAAATGTTCTTTCTATGTCTAACAAGGCACACGCGACCGGGTAATAAACTTAAAAACTATTTTTGTTACATAAACTATTTTACTGTCTTGTTTTTCCAAACCATCTTTAATAATTCTGGAAAATTGCAATCAAACTATCAAAGTCTGAAGTAGTTTGTTGTACTGTTTGTTGTTCCTTTCGTCCTCTTCCTGATTAGATAATCATTAAACCTAATATTTCTACGATTAAGGCCTGTCTATCCTAATACATGATGGAAGCCCATAGAAAAATAGTGTAAGTCACTCGAAGCTACAAACTTAAGACATCTAGTGGATTTTTAGAACACAATTTCGAGATTGCCCTTTAACAGATCAAAAATGTAAATACACTAGCGAACCTAGCGATTTTTACTCGAACTCCGATCAATATTAGCCATTTATTTATATTGTAGAAACTCTATAGTTACAGAGCCATCTATCGTGCACGTAACTAA